CTCTTGTTGGATTTCTTTCCTTTGGGACTCAGGTTCAGGTTCATGAATTGGGATTCTCCGACATGTCCAAGGTGTATGTTTTCCGGGGTACCAAGGAGGTTTCTAAGGAGCAGGTTTTGGAGCAATTGGGGCTCTCGATGGGAGGGCGGAGACCCACTGGGGCGTATCAAAAGGGGGTCCCCAATGGATTCCCTAATTCAGGTGTTACACGTTTTTTGCTGCCTGCTTCTGATTGCGAATATACCCTCAATTCGGTACACTCCCGTTGTTTCTTTGTTTCTGTTCAATTTTTTGGGTTGGGGAAATTCTTGAACTCGGTTGTATTTGTTACGAATTGTAGTTGTTGGACGAACTTCAAACGGATCAATGGCCTGTTTCTCCCGGTAATCGGGCATCTCGGTGCACGGGAGTGGCGTTAAGTGTTGCTGCTAGCTTGCTTGGCGCTTGTTTGCCCGGGACAGGTGCTCGAATTATTGCTTTGGTTGGTGGTCCATGCACAGAGGGGCCTGGCACGGTAAGGGGAAAAAGAGAGTCCATTCCCGGCGTTCATTGTTCTGAATTATATGTTATTATTTGTCAATTGTGCTAGATCACATCCAATCCAATGCTTAGGATCATTTTTGCAAGTTACTTGTTTTTTGGTTGTTAGAATATTATACAGACGTTTAGAATTACATTGTGGTAATTCATGTTGCTTTATTACTGATTTTTTTGGTTGTATTTGATTGTGAATTTGTCATTTCTTATGGTAGCAGACAATCTCTGGGTCATTTTGGTCATCCTAAGGCGTTGACTTGTGTCTTTTTCCTTTTCCTTAAACTTGTTATCTGCATTGGTTCAAATCAATTTATTAGTGCCAACCTGAGGATCAAAGCCTCACCCCAAGTGTTGTTGAACTTAAAAAATCAATTTATTAGTACAGAATAATATGGACTTCGATCTTATTTTCCTTAACAATCAGTGGGCCTGGCCAATATTTTTATTGCCAAATTGAGCCAGGATCTTCGGGGGTTCCCCTCTTTTGCAATTTCATGATATCAATGGATTTGTTTCTCATGAACAAAAAAAAAAAAAAACAGAGCCTGGATCCTTATGTTTCCTTCTTCTCTCTCCACTGCTTTTCTAGTACCATGTGAAACTAGTGTTAGTATAATCAATTGCTTGATAATATTGATCAAAGTTCATGGGATAGTTAGTGGTTATTTTGTCTTACAAGTCATTGGAATCGTACCTTAATATAGCTGTTGCCTGCCTGTATCAATACATGTCTGACAAAAGTATTTGTAAATAAGCTTGGAAGTTGGGTCCAGATGCTGCATATTTTTCAACTACCACTTGGCATTTTAAAAACCGTGTTATTGTGCATTGACTCTAACAGTGCAATTTCAGCCTGTTTGGCATCACTCAACTAAGGTGGATTGCTAAAGTGTGAATTTAGGTGTAAGAGCATATAGAACTTGCATCGAAAGAGTGGCAGATATCATCATCGCATCCACCTTATTTTTCGTTCTGTCTTCTCTTTTTATATTTTTTCTCACCTGTTCTTTTAGACGTAGCTTCAGTTAACTTGAATAAGACATAGTTTTGTTATTTTATTCTAACTTGCTTCTGGCTTTTTCTTGGTATTGGAAATACTTGGTCATTCTACTTGTATTTTGTCTTATATGCAAAACTTTGATAACTGCAGTATTGTGGGTCTAAAATTTGGAATAATATTAACGTTGTTCTCATTCCTTTTGTACTTATAATTGCTGATGTTTGTTTGATAAACTGATTAAATTTAACATTTACAGATTGTGTCCAAAGAACTATCAGATCCAGTGCGTTCACATAAAGACCTTGATAAGGATGCAGCTCCTTACTTTAAAAAAGCAGTCAAATTCTATGAAAATCTTGCAAAACAGCTGGTCAGCCAGGGCCATGTCTTGGATCTGTTTGCTTCAGCACTTGATCAGGTTGCTATAAACTTTATCTGCCTCAAATAGAATCTGTGTTTCCTTCTAAAAATATAAATTCAGCAATTTAAAAGAAAAAAGTAATATTATGTTGTTTTCTATAATTCTAGAAAAGAAATATTAATATAATATCAGAATTATTTACTTCTAATTTTGTTTCCATACCCATAGCTGAAAATTTAGATTGAATCGATTGTGGTAATTTTATACCCTTTTTTGAGCTCCTTATGGTCAAATAATACACAGTAATATTGTTTTCATGCTTGTTTTTGTTTGTTCCATTTTCTTCATAATGTGTTTTTCTTTGAGCATTTCTGCATACTACAGATGCACGGGTTGATTTTGTCATGACCAAGTATTTGTACAGTCCAAATAATAATGTTTAGTATTTCCTCCAGGCCTTCCTTGAAAAAGGAAAAAAATATATATAAAAGATAAAGTCTATCAAGTGGATGAGATCCAACAATATGAAATCAAACTATTTTTCTTTTTTCTTTTGGTGACTTCTCAAGGCGTTCCTTGAATCATATAAGTGTTACGGCTAACAAGTTTTCATAGTACTCATGATTTGCATCCTGAATTAGCATATTTAAGTTACAATGATCTGTCTGTTAGAACCTGGAATATATTGAAAGATAAAAGATAAACGAACTACAATTGCGAACTACAATAGCCACCAAGTATTAGAGGTACTTGGACCCTCCCCTCTTGAGATATCACTCAAGCCCAAACATACTCACTCAATTGGATACCTTCATTCTTACACCCCCATTCTATTTATAACAACACTCCCTAACAACTTTCCTATCTAATTACTAAGGTACCCTCAATACTTTAATAATATCCCTTTATTATCTTAAGGGCCATTCCTATCATTGTCTTAGGAGGTTCAAGTGGTTATATGGGCGGGTGGTTGTATATATGGTACTTTGAATTAAGGTGGCAAAGGACCCAAGGAATAGTCCTTTTCCCCCCTACTTATTCTGCATGATAATTTGTTTCTGTATTGTTAGTTATGACTATGAGAATGTTCTACAGTTGTGTGATTTGTTGTTTAAACTTAAGTTAAACCTTTAAGCAGACCTTTTCTAGGTATAATATCTGACATCTTTCTTTGTGCATGGTATACCATTGAAAAAGAATGAAATGAGGATTATGATTTAGTGACTTCTATATTATCTCGGACTTAATGCATCATAAACTTGAACGTATTTGCTTAAAAAGATCTTTATTCATGCAGCACCTCATGGGAAGTATTTCCAGCTTCTAAGCACCAGAAGGAATATTGATATACTGTTTATCCGCTAAATACTTCTAACATAATGATATTCAGATGTAGTGGATTTCCTGATGTTCAAATTTGACATACTTGATTGTTGATGAGGTCACTGTCTATCTCATTTTGGTTACCTAAGTTTGTCTTACGAAATATTGGTGCCTACTGTTCCATACCGGTAAAAAGTAATTGAAGGTTAATTGAATCAATCCACGTCAGATTTGAACATCAGGATTCAATTACTTTATACTGGTTTAAAATAAACCTAATTTAGTATGATTATTATTGGATTTGAATTGAAGTTATATTTGAACATCAGGATTCAATTATACTACAGTAGGTCGATTTGATAATCATAATGCAATCACTTTGTTGTAATAATCTTAAAATTATGTATTTTTCTGTACCTGTCAATAATCATGCTTCATTCATTGGAATTTTTAAATATCTAGGTTGGTGTTGCGGAAATGAAAGTTGCAGTAGAAAAAACCGGCGGCCTTGTTGTTTTAGCTGAAAGTTTTGGACATTCTGTATTTAAGGACTCTTTCAAGCGTGTGTTTGAAGAAGGGGAACACTCTCTTGGTCTTTGTTTTAAGTGAGTGCATAATTATAAATATATTGTGCTTCTTTTCTTCTATTTCACTTAATCCATATTTTAGCTTCTGCATGTTATTTTAAGTCATGATGTTCGTATTTTTGTTATTGTCAACTACCTTGGTTTGACCTGATATGGTAAAAACGAAGGAGGCAAGCCATAAATGATAAATCTAGATATCTTTTGTAGCTAGCTCTTGCTTTCTTTGACTAGTAAGTTGGATAGTTGGAGAGTTTTTTATACAAGGAGAGTAAATAGTTTCAAATCTTTAGAAAAATATGGACGGGCCAAGGAAGAAGTGAGGGTGAGTTAACTGTAACTTAGTATGAAAATTATGAAGTCTGCGTGTTCCTTTTGAGTCGTCAAGGAATTTTCTTACAAATGCTAGCAAGGATCAGCAGCAAGAACAACATTCTCATGTTGAAGCCTAGTTCTGCTTGGAAACCTAAAAAAATCGGCAATGTTAAAAAGCAGCAGGTTGACCTAAATTTGAGCTGTGGTAGCAAATACCCCAATTTACTACCTCTCCTTTTTCATGGTCCTTCCAATGGCGTTCTTGGAAATCATGGTGTTATGAGCAATTTTCACTGAGAAAAGGGCCAGATTTGGAAGGTGGGAGCCACCCGCTTAATTGACCGTAGGATTTATTTTCCTAATATCCTTTGTGCTTATTTTGAATCTTTAACAACTTTCTGTTTCCTCCCAAAAGGATAAAAAAGATTGGTGGGGTATATTGAAGGCTTGAATACTTTAAGTTATTAAAAGTGGGCCATTGAAGAACTACATGGTATGATCCAAATTTAGATGACTATGGAAATAATGTATACTCCCATAGCAGTGGTGAAGGACTTATGGACATGGGTAAGATGGGATAATATAAAAAGCCATGTTAGTAGTATAATTTTTTTAAAGCAGCTGCACATATAGCAATTTGGCCTTAATTAATAGCAAATCTAGCACAAGCTAAAATAATTTGTAAATATGCCACAATTTTTCTGCACATGATAGATGTCTTCAGTCTATCATTAATAGACGTTTATTGGTGATATCAGATATCACCGGTAGATGTTAGTATCACTCGTAGACGCTAGTCTATCAATGATAGACTCCCGCTTTAGAAAATTGCCATATTTGCAAAATCTTATTTCTTAGGCTATATTTGCAAATATGGTAAAACTATTTGCTACCTATTACAATTCCTTTTTTTTTCTTTTTCTTTTCTCTTTTTCTTTTTGGCCGTTGCTTCTAGTATGTCTACATCTTTCTGTACCTACTTTGGACAAGTATGAAATGCGTTAGGAGACCATGCATCTAATTTTGGTATAAATTAGTTTCTGTTTCCATTGGAGCCTAGAAAGTATAACATTTCATGTAACTTGATACCTACTTTTACATTTCAGTGGCACCCTCGAGATCAATTGTTCAAAGGATATCAAAATTCAGGGGATAATTGGACCTTGCACATCTTTGGAGAAGGTTGCATGCTCTCATGCACTGTTGTTGGCTTTTGCTCATGGATCTTAAATTTTTCGTTTACATGATTGCCTCGTGGAACTGATTGTTTGTGGTGTATATTTTCAGAAAGGTCCTGCTGTTTCTGATACCATTATTGGGGAGGGCAATACAACCTTGTGGAAAATGTGTGGCCTTGACAAAAGCACTTGTTTGACAGTGTTTTTTGATCTTGCATCAAGTGATAGATCAAGTACTCAAGGAACTGCAAATCCACAGTTGTATCTGCAGTTTCTTACTAGGTAAGCTATCAATTGTGATGATTTATTATCATCTGGTATTGCAGCAGATGCCATATCATGTATCATATAGTTGCGATGATTTATTGTTATGATTGCAGTTATCAAGATCCTGAAGGTCAGTCAATGCTTCGGGTTACAACTGTTACTAGAAGATGGATAGACACTGCTGTTAGCTCTGAGGTTTCTTATTGTACATTTTTCCAAAGCTTTTATGCTTTTAAATGTTACTCTATTTCTAGTATTTTGAATGGGGATTAACGACTTGTTTATCAATAACAACTAACATTACATTGGAGAAAACTAAAAGTCAACAAAAAAAAATAGGGAGTAGTTACTGTATTTTATTTTGAGTGTTTCCATACAAGAAACAGAGAACTCCTTTCATTTTCATGCTAGATTTCATGAGGGATTTTCATCAGTACTTGTTTAAGTGAATATACATTTCTGAATGAAGCTCAAACTAAATTACTAGGAAAAATGGTTTATGGAAATTACCTGGAAAAACAGAAGTAATTGATTTGATCTTCAATTTTGGCTTTGTATGCACTCAATTATATCAGTGATATTAAATTGAAAAATTGGGCGAGATTATATCCTGAAGATAAGCAGTGAAGTTTATAATTTATGGATAGTCAGAAAGTGTGATAGGTAGTTGGTGGACTTGTAGAATGTTACTATTTTTGTTTGTTAAACCCTAATTATTGTATATTTTAAATGTACCAGTTCAATTTGTTGGAAGTTCATAGATAAATATTGGTGGAAAGATTTTGGTTATCAAATTCCTTTTTTAAGAGTATAGATAAATATTGGCGGAAATGATATTGCTCCCCCCTGTTTAGCAACTATAGCCACACTTCCCTAATAGCCAATTGGAAGTGCTTCATGCAACTCTTTTTGGACTTTTGTAATTTCATAAAATTGTTTCTTTCACAAAAAAAAAAAAAGAGAGTCTGGGTGTTATGATTGGTGTGGTTCTACTTATAATATTAAATGGTTACCCTTAATTGGCATTATTGTGGGAAGTTCATTAATGAAAAGTTCGTATCTTTCATCAATGAAAAGTTCGTATCTTATTAAAAAAAATTGGCATTGTTGTGTACAAATGAAAATCATTATTTCAATTTATGGAAAATGGTTACAAAATAAAGTTGGTTGTAGTGGTTGTATTATGGTTGGTATGCTCTTGTTTATAGTTTGCAATTGTTTAACTCACTTGGCATTTGCACACACTCACACTCGTGGTTCTCTTTCTACATCTTGATGAACGATGGAAAGTCAATACACATGAATTCTCTGTGTTGGTTCTCTTTCTCTATCTGGATGAACGATTAGAATTTAATCTTCGAGGCATTGATTTCAGGAATTGGTGCAAGGGTTTGATCAAGAGGCTGCTGCAGTTGTTGTTGCAAGATTAACTTCCTTGAAAATGGAGATGGAGGTAATGTTCATTATATAGTTGAACATTTCTTCAAGCAAACTTCTGCCCTTCTTTTCAGTAATCAACCTGCTTAATTTGTTTAATCTATGGCACACAAAGAAAACAATATTGAATTTACTGTGTTGAGAGATCATTAGAGATATTGAACTCGAGAAGATTGCATTTCTGGTTTCAGAACTTGTGATCTTTGCATGCGTTCAGGTGCTAGTTATGAATAGAAGGAACTGAAAATCTGTCTTGGACCATGAAATTGCTTCTCGTTTGAATTTGCACGCATGTAAAATCTAAGGTAACTAGGTCCTTATGGAGGGATTTTTTTTGTAAGAATTATTTTCATTTTAATGAAAAAGATCACAAGAATAAACTTAGTTCCTCGGGGTTTTTACTTACTAATTCCTTTTCAAGAAAGTTGTACTACTTACTCTCCCTAAAGAGATGACTGAGGCCTTTTGGAAGGATAAATATCCAGAGAAGGTCAAAGTCTTCCTATGGAGTATGGACTGCTCTACTTTGATGTTTGACCTCATAGATAATATTTCAGGCAAGGAATCCTCATAACGCCCTTTCCCCAGTGCTGTGTTGTTTGCAAAATCCGTTGGAGCCAGCATTTATTCTTTTCTTGTTCCTTTCGGGGATGATTGTTCTGGAGGCTTTTAAACTTTTTTCGGCATTAGTTGGACTATGTATTCCTTGGTTATAGACGACTTGAACACCTTACTTTCTGGGCCTATTTTTAAAAGGAAAGCTGGAGTGTTATCACTTATGCCACAAGAGCTATTTTGTGAAAGGTTTCGTTAGAGAAGAATAGAAGAAAATTTTCAAGAAGAATACAAGGGGCCTTATTACCTTTGGGAAAATATTTCTTTTGTTGCCTCTATTTGGAGCTCTTGTTCAAAACATTTTTAAGTACTTCTCATTCAAGAAAGCTAAAGGGACTATGTGGAAGCACTTCATTCGAGCTTTTCTTTGGATTTTTTGGAACGAAAGGAACCATCGACTATTCCTAGACAAAGATCTGCCTTTCATCACTCTTTTTGATAATATCACTTTTCATGCTATGTCTTGGTGTAAATCATCCCTCTATTTTATATTATTTTTTTTATATCCGTGTGTTTGGGTCAGCTTGCGCGCTCCTCGACTATTCACGGACCAACCGTCTGACCCTACTACATTTGGTTGACAAAGAAACTCATAGGATATTAAATCCTAGGTAGGTGCCACCATGGTTTGAACTCATTTCCTCTAAGTCCTTCGCTATTTTCATTAGCTCTCATTGACCACATGGGTCATCCCATGATGGTTCCTCTATTTTCATTCTTACACAGTATGAACTCTTTATTAACCAATTGGAGATGTTTTCTGTAACTTCTTTGGTTTTTTTGGTGGGTTTGCGCCTCTCTTTGTAATTTCATCCATCAATGAAATTGTTTCTTAAAAAAAAAATAATAAAAAGAGATTAGGAAGATAAAATATTACCAGAGAGGTGGACCAACCCTTGGAAGGAATTTCTGAAAATTTGTTTCTATTCACTTCTATTGCAGTTAGTCCAAGATAGTCAACGTTTTGTGGCTTGCTAGTTCAATTGGTCATTTAAAATGTTCCACTTGTATCTCCAAAGTTATAACCCTATAACTTACCCGATGTTGAACTTTGCTCTTATCAGGAAGGATTTGATGCTATTCGGTGGTTGGATCGATCCTTGATTCGCCTCTGTTCTAAGTTTGGTGATTATCGGAAAGATGATCCATCTTCCTTTACCCTAAATCCTTGCTTTTCTTTGTATCCTCAGTTTATGTTTAATTTGCGGCGTTCACAGTTTGTACAGGTATTTATATCTTTTATGATCTCATTCTTGAGGTTATACGTGTCAATACGATACGATGTAAAAATTATTTTCGTTATTTTGGTTGGATCCTTGCGATCTGATCTGATGTGCAGGTTTTCAACAACAGTCCAGATGAAACTGCATATTTTCGTATGTTGTTAAATAGGGAGAACATTACAAATGCTGCAGTGATGATTCAACCATCACTAATATCATATTCATTCAATTCACTACCTGCACCAGCCTTGTTGGATGTTGCTTCCATTGCAGCTGATCGCATTCTCCTGCTAGATTCTTATTTCAGTGTTGTCATATTTCATGGGATGACAATAGCTCAGTGGCGTAATATGGGATACCAGAATCAGCCAGAACACCAAGTTTGTGCTTGCTTGAATTCAGTGCCTCTACTACTACTGTTGAAAGTTGAAATCTTACAAGTTTAACTTTTGGAAATTTTGATTTTATAATGAAAAAGTAGACGGCATAGAGATAATAGGTTTAAACACGCCACCCACCTAAATTTAAAATCTTACAAATTTTCTTGACAACTAAATGTCATGTGAGATTAGTTGAGATATGTGCAAGTGGGTTGGAAACTTATGGATATAACAAAAAATTGATGTTATTATACACATTTTAGAAGCCTTCCATTATTCATGACCATTTTATATTTACTTGCGAATGTTTTTTCTTTTTAGAATAAGTTTGAAAATGAAGATTGTGTTTCTTGAACTTTGGTCATTTGACAATTTAGAATGAATATATCAACTATGTCTTCCATTTAATCAATCTAACATTCTTTCTACAGGCATTTGCACAGTTGTTGCAAGGTCCTCACGATGATGCCCAAATTGTTATTAATGAGCGTTTTCCAGTACCTCGTTTGGTTGTCTGTGATCAGCATGGTTCCCAGGTTATTTTTATAATCTACAGCTTTGGTTTATATTCACGCAAAGATCGTTACACAAAAAGTATTCAAATGCTATAAAAGTTATTTGTGCTTCCGCTGTCATTACTATTATAGGCTGGCTCCTAGCTCATTTTTCTAGTATCACACAGGATCTATTTGTATGTTTTGTCTCTTCCTTATAGCGTGTGCAGTCCTCACTTAATTTTAGATGGTTAGACCAATTAATTATGCTTTGAATGTTTCATACTTGGAAACGTATGAAAAATTCAAGGCCAGGTTTTCCGTCTTTCATTTTGTCTTTATTTTTTTAAATAAACTTGGCTACCCTTTCCTTCTTAATGTTTTAACATGTAAATTTTTTCCTGGAATCTTGGCCACAATCTTAAAAGTAAGAGGTCTAACCTCCTTTATCTTATAATCATGAACTCGCTAAGATATCAATGAGATGTATGAAGCATAAAAGAAAGAAACTCAATGTTACCAATATCACTTATTCTGTAGAAAATGAAAAACCAAAAATAAAGTAATGTTGATCAGTCAATGTCTGCAATGGGTTTTCCAATCTGTTCTGAAGGTAGATGTTTGGTTTATTTGATCAACATATATGATTGTGGAGTTGAATGAACCAAATTATTCTCACCAATCATCCATCCGAAGTCGTATGTTGACATAATTATTTTATTTGTCTTTTCTGAGCAGGCTAGATTCTTATTGGCAAAGTTGAATCCATCAGCCACATACAACAATACTCAAGAAATGGCAGCCGGGTCAGATGTCATATTCACCGACGACGTTAGCCTTCAAGTTTTCTTTGAGCATCTCCAGAGGTTGGCTGTGCAATCCTGAGAATAGACAGGGCTTTCTTGAGGCTTATAGTTAAAAAACTCATCCGTCTTGCTGTGGGATAACTCACTGAGGGTTATGTATCTCTGGTCTTATTGACTTCTTTTCTGGTCTTTCCGTTAGTTTTCCAAGTTGAGAAGCCAATATCCCACATTCTCTACATTTGAAGAATAAGGGAACACTGATAAAATTCTTTTTTTCGGGGACATTCTCGGTCGGCATCGCAGCTTGGTAAGGGTCAACCAGGTCATTTGAGCTTCAAGTCACACAAGGGGGGAAAAGAGAGGTTTGATGGCAATGTAATTTAGAGGAATCCTTTGACAGCCTATAGACATTTGGGAAAGTCATTCTGTTAGGATTTTTGGTTCTTCAATTTGTTTTTTTGTATTGAGCTTAGACCACAAGTATTTTTGATGATTCTCCTAGTAAATTATATGGAAGGGAGTTTAGGCATTTGTGTTTGTGTTTTCAAAGTCAGTCCGAAATTGCAATTTTCTTTATAAGGCTCTCTTGTTGATATTATTTAATTTAATTAATAGGTTGTGAACTTTCTATTTATCAGGTCTTGAAGATTTGTTCAACTCCATTATGTATGATTTTCACCCTCCCTCTCTCTCTCCCTCTTCTCTCCAAACTCCCACCATCTCAAGGGCTAAAGATGACTTATTCTTTAGGGTATTTAGTAAGTTTGATCATGAGATGTTTAGTTTTTCTTCTTGCAAATTCTGCCCACCACAAAATTTTTCACTCTCTCTGCGTTTCTCTCTTCTACTAATAAAAATTTAATGATGGATAACAAGTTTGTTATCCCGTCGCCATAGAAGTATTGTTTGTATATTATTAGTTTATAGATGTTTTTATCCAATTTTGTCATGTTTATGTTTATTGTGTTTATTGGGTAGGGGGATTGTTTGGAGTCGTAAGTCATTTACTCTAGGAAATGAATAAATCATTGGGATAATGTTATTTCAATTTTGAAATAGTAAGGTAATGAATAAATCATTGGGATAATGTTATTTCAATTTTGAAATAGTAAGGTGTGTTTTATCCACTGAGTTATATTATCTACTTGGCATACTTATCTAAGATTGGATTATTATCCTAATGCGAGCCACTCCGAAACACTTTTTTCATCGAGTTAAGCGACGTGCATGACAAGAATCCAGCTTATATATATTTAGGTTCTAAGAAACTGCCTTTATTAGGAAAAAAAAAATCACATCCCCAAAGAACGTCCATTCCATCAAATTTTTATTAACCAAACATACAAAATAAACATGATTCTTGGGAAAAGCCAACATTTTCCACCAAAAAGCAAAGCATCCTAAAAACTGAGCAGACAACAATGGCAGGCAGAGACAGTGCAAGTAATGTAGTGTAATCTAATCATACAGATAACATTCAAGTAAGTTGTACAACATCTCATCTCAAACAGTCTACTCTAATGAACTGAGGAACAGCATACAAATTGAGCCCAATATGGCTTCCCTTTCCTCCTTTCTCTCCTGATGTCTGATGGATATCTTGCAGGGGAGTTCCACTCATTTGCAATCTCTTTGTTTCCCAATTGTGCGGAAGGCGATCTTGGGCGTGTAACGGAGTCGACCATTGTGTCGACAGGGCCATTTTTCGTCGCTTTTTCATCCTTCTGAATCATTGAAGCTAGATTTTCTTTTCTGGTTGGTGATGATTTCTGCTTGTTTTCGAGTGCAGCGTCATCCAGAAGGTTCTTCAGGGCAGTGTGCGGCTTCCCAGCGCTCCAGTTTGTCACCTTGGCAATAATCGCTTCGTTCTTCTTCCTTCCCGGTGAGTCGTTTGCAACATGAGTATAAGATGGAAACCAGCCAGGTTGCAGAGATGCAGAATTCGGCTGCTGTCGGTTTTGGGCAGTCTGGATTTCGGATGAGGCTGAGTTTTGCATTCCTCCACCATTAGGTTCAACCAATGTCATAAACGATGGTGGCTCAAACAAATCAGATCTGTCAGAATGTTGTCTCTCGGTCATAGCATCTGCCTTCTTCAAGTCAGTTTCCTCTGCTTCAGCTCGTGCACGAGGCGTTACTTCAGAATCAACAACAGCTGGTAAATCTGACTGAGTTGAGAGCACTGTTCCTCATGATCAAGAAAATACATTAATTATCAAGAAAGTTTCTGATGTAGAAAAAAAAAAGTATCAGTTATAAGTTCTATAACTCATAAATACATGTTATGGGATAGCATAAGCTCACCATTGAACCAACAGAATTTAAAGCGGAAACACATTTATTAATGAAAAACTCAAGGGCCAGTTATACATAGTATAAGAACGAATACCTGAGACAGATCCCCAGTGGCCTTCAAGACTGTCAGTTCGGCTACTTGCATCGACTGAAGCATCGAGAAGGGATGATGTAAGCTGCGGTTTTACGTCGGTTTTCACACCATCATCTTGCCAAGGTTCAGAAGTAATTCTGACTGCATCTCCATCCTGAGAAGCGTCAGATCTTCCCATAACAGATTCCTTACTTACCAAAAGCAAATTTGCTTTTTCTTTGGCTTGGATGTCAGAAGTGTTTTGAACTGAGTCGAAATCCCCGACACAACATGACCGATCATCAGCATTCGCTTCACTAATGCACGGCACAAGCACAGCACTTCCAGTCCCAGATAACTTCCTAGGAGATCCATCAGCTGTATCTTCTTCAACAGCAATGCATTTTTTCTCCCTGCTGTTAGTAATTGATTCAGGTGCGTAATCAACCCCCATTGAAAACTTCTCCTCTGGAGGGTCTTCGTTGTTCTCAACTCCAGCTACATCTGGATTATCAAATTTATCCTTATTACCAACACCGCTATCGTCGTTTTCATGCACATTGGCTGAAAGACGAACTTGCACCGACTCCTCCAAATGTCTTCCACATGCTCCTGCCTTGTTGTCATCATCGGCTAAAATAACGGCTCCAGTACCGACTTCATTCTGATCCAGACTCTTCTGATTACCTGTTGGTGCAGCCACGGAGTTTTCATCAAACAAAATTTCAGCAACATTTTCTGAAAAACTATTGAGGGAATTCTTGGAAGGCGCCACCGTTTCAACTTCTGGAGAAAGGGAGGCTAAAGGAATAGGAATACTGTCTATCCGCAATATTGCAGCATCACTTAAGGTTTGACTCTTATCTTGCTTTTCATTTTCGCTCAATATACCTTCTTTAATCTGAGTTGGATCCACTTCTTGAATGAGAACTTCTTCGACTTCCCAACCGCTGTTCTTAGAACGAGCACCTTCCACATCAACCAACACTTCGGAGCCTCCACTTTCTTGTTTTTGCCTATTTTCCACTCTTTTCATGTCAAAAGAAGCTCCTTCAGAGGCTTGGTCAAATGGCTCTGCCTGCAAAGTAGGATAACTCTCCTTGGTATTAGGATACTTAAAATTGTCTCCCAGACTACTGACTCCTTCACGAGGGTCCTCCTGTATAACACAATTGGTTAATTTAACTTCTTTAGGGTCCTCTGAATCTTTAACTAAAGCCTTGGGACGGTCTACAACATTTACCTCACTCAACACAGAAGGTGGATGCACATTGTCATTCCCTTCTTTTATTTTATTGGTCTCTAGTAAATTGAAAGAACTACAAGACTCTGTTTCTTTTCCAGTATTAGATGATGTGACTTGAGTTGAGGCAAAGGGTTTAACATCAGAAACAACACTTGGGGGTGTTGCAGTATGGATGGAACTGTCAACATCAGCCATTGATGGAAGAATTTCATTATGTGCAGTAGGCTCTGTAGGTATGTCAACAGTTTCTTCGGTCTTTGGCAGTGGCTCGAATTTGTTATTATCAACTTTTCCAGATGATGCTGCGATTTCTGCTAAGTTATTACATAAGCCGAAGCCCTCATTTTTCTTTTCATCATAACTTCTATCAGGAGATGGCAAGGAGCACTGAGGTACATTTTCAACAGGAGCGGCTATTACCATTTCAGGTTCAATCGGGTACAAGTCACCTGTAGCAGTAGCATTCATATGATCATGGAGCAGAATCATTGAATCCCCATTTCTAAAGTTGGTCTCAAAATTCACAAATTCTCGATTAATTTTGGTTTCCTGTTCAGTTCCAGACTGATTTACAGTATTTTCTGCAACAACTGAGCTTTCCACTTTTCGGTTTCCAGCCGAAGAGCTTGATGTTGGAGTTCCAAAATCAGTCTCAAGATTCCCATATTCTGGATTAATTTTGCTGTCCTGCTCATTTCCTGACTGATCTATAGCAGTTTCCGCAACAAACGAATTTTCCACTTTTCGGTTTCCAGTTGAAGAGCTTGACGAAGGAGTTCCAAAATCAGTCTCAAGATTCACAAATTCTTGACTATTTTTGCTTTCCTGCTCACTTCCTGACTGATCGATAGTTTCTGCAGCAATGGAACTTTCCGCTATTCGGTTTTCAGTCAAAGAACTTGACAATGGAACACGATCTGAGTATTATACAAACATAAATTGTTAAATTAAAAGAAAACGAAGACAGCCCAGATTTCTTAAACACAAATCAGTAAAATGACATTAAATTTTATGTCAAAGAAAGAGGTCTCATTTTGCTCCGGTTACACTATAAGAAACTTATTAGCCCTCTTTAAGTGATTCATTTTTTTTGTTTTGAATTATTCCTTCCTAATTTAGGCTATTTCCCTCTTTAAATATTTCACAAGAGCTGAGATTTTCAATCCTATAATGGGAATGGCAGTCCTCAAAATATAATGCCGTTTTCCAAATTTTTCCATAATTGAGATAACAGGAACCTAAAAAAGATTATCAAGCAATCAAAATTGTCAAACTCACTGAGTATAAATAACTAATTATTTGATCAGACAACGGAAAAAGAACAAAAGACAGGTCTTCCCCAACATTAAACTTACCAAGGATTTCTCTGTCTTTCAAAGTTTGGGAGCTATTCATTTCATCCTCCGCTACCATCTTCGAGGTGCTTACCAAATTTGAAGCATCTCCCACGGATTTGTTCGGCCCTACACCCTCAGAAAACTCTGCAACAGCATCTGAAAACACTTCGTCTTCGGATTCCTTTGGTTTTTTCCTCATTCCATCAACACCCTTATCATTGCAACTCCCTTCCAAGACTTTAGGACCTATGCAGCATTTACTGACATAATTAAAAACATCTTAAGGCACAGAAGTATTCATTATCACAGGCCCCTCATTTCCAACAGAAAAAGAAAGAAGAGACAAAAGCAAACCAAAAAGACACAGAAAGAGAGAAAATCACGACTCCAAAGAGAAACCAAAATGCAGCATAACTTTTAGATTTCAATCAAAACTTTGGTCCCTAAACTTTCAAAGGTTCTCTTACAGTGCTACAACGAAATTAACGGAAACTTACTCTGTTTGAAAACCCAACACTTAACCTACTTACATATGGCTTCAGATATTTGTCGGATATCGAGTCAAGATCAGGTTTCTCGTAAATAATTTGTCAAAAAGTTGACAGTAAGAACTAGAACTGTTATTCAGCCAAAGTTTAGGCACCAAACTACAATAAACAGAAAGTTTAGGACCAAAAAAGAACTGAAACCTAACTTGTACAAACCTATACAAACAGACAGAGGACAAGGAAAGAAAACAGTATAAAGAAGAGACTTCTTACAGGAATTTTTGTGATCACCATCATCATCTGAAAGGGGCAAATGGGCGTCGTTAGCCTCAGCTTCAACCGGCTTAAATCCTTCAATTTTTCCACAAACCCTCTTGTGAGCACGCCTGTGTTTGGCACTTGGATGAGGGTTTGGGAAGGCCCATCCACATTTACTGCAAATATGGACTCCATGGCTCTCTTGCCCTACAAAACCCAACAACAAAAACACCACTCAATCACAAACCAACCAACCCCAACAAAAATTTCCCCAAAAACCCACAAAACCCCAAATGCCCAATTCCAAAACCCAGAAGAGAAAACAACCAAGAACCACCAAATCAAGAGACCCAGGAAACAAGAAACACAAAGAGGGAGAAAAAACCATCAAGAACCCAACAAAACAGGGGAGGGGCTGCTTGCTTACTCTGATCCCGATGCTCCATTTTTCCAAAAGAGTGGGAGAGCCAAGAAAGAACCGAATGGAGGTGTGAAAATAGGAGGCAGTTAGTTAGCTATGGAGCAAGGAGAGGAGAGAAAAACCGAAACGAAATCATATTTTTCGAAAAGGGGAAATGAAAAATGGGGAATAAAGGGGAAAAAAGTCCAACTTTTGTGGTGGGGTTTTGAAAAAAGGGAGTTGCGGTCCGTGCAAAACAGTGAGAGAGACCTGCGCCTGCAACGGCTTACGCTGTATCCCCATGTGGGCAGAAACCCTTCTTCATAAACCATGGCCACTGTACTTTACGAACCCCATTGCTGCTGGGATTGATCCTCTACATCCGAGTCTAGACAACGCCCGTGGGATCGTCTTCTCGAAGGAGCAACACTTGTCTCTGGAAATGTACGGCCGTACGTGTCTGTTTCTCGGTCCGTACGATGATCCAACTACTCTCACTGTACAAAAATGTTTATATTTGTTTATTTGTTTGAATTATAAGTTTGGTATGGAAATGCAAAGAATGAATAAATTTGTCAACTTTACCGGGTGGTACTTGTTTTTTTAGTACAGCATGTCGAGTGGCTCACACTCTCTTTATTGGAAATATATATCAATTATCTTATATTTGTTTTGGCAAAAAAAAATATAATGATTCATTGAAGTTTAGAGTTATATTAGACATAATTATGATATAATAATTTGGGTTGTACTAAAATAAATAAAATAATTTGAGTTTAAATATTATTTTGGTCCAACGTTTATTTTGGTCTCTATATTTTTAAATGTTTTTATTTTTAACTTTAATTTAATTCATTTTAATTTATGTACTCTCCAAATGTCTATTTTAATCACTGTATTTTTAAAAAGTGATTATTTTAATCATTTTATTTTCATTTTTATCTAATTTCTTTCCATTCTAATTTTAACATGATGTAGCTATAATATTGTATAAAAATGGTTTTTATTATGTATAAAGTTTATGGTGAAATTGTGCAAATAGGGTACAAATTGACCACCTCTTAAAAATATTGTTTTGAAAGAATAAGAACTAAAATAAACAAAAAAAAAAATTGAAAACATAGGTAACAAAATGAATATTTTAAAAGTTCAGGAATTAAAATAAATTAATCAAAGTCCAACATCCATCAAAATAGTATTTATAATTTAGATTTAAATATGGTTTATTGTCCTTCAAATTTGTTATATTTTTTGTGTCTGAACTTTTAAATATGTATTTTAGTCATTAAAGTCCTTAAAATATAATTTAAATTTTAATCAACTATTAGTATTAACAATTTTAATTGTCTATAGATGTAAATGTAAATGATTTAGATCTAGTGATGATTTTTCGACCATAAAATATGATTAAAAGTTTTGAATACTATACTAGCATTAGGGATGGAAAAAATACCAGCGGGTACGTACTTGACCCGATCGGGTTGGAGATTCTCCGGTTTGACCGGGGACGGGGTCAAACCGGAGATCCCAATCGGGTTCCCGACGGGGATGGGGATCGGTCCCCCGCCCCGTCCCCGTCCCCGACCCGTTTAATTTTTTATTACTTTTTCTATTTTTTATATAATAATATTAATATATATTAATTTTATAAATACTTTTTAATTTAAAAAAAACTCAAACTAATACCCCATTTAACGACTTTTTATACTAATAATAACACAATTAATTAAAAAAATTAAAAATTAAATTAAAAAATTAAAAAAACATATTTATAACCGAGACGGGTTCCCCGCCCTGTCCCCGCCCCCAAAATTTCAAGGATAGAGGCGGGGAGGGGAAAAAATCCCCAACAGGAAGGGGATGAGGATGGCCCCCGACCCCGTCCTGCCCCGTTGCCATCCCTAACTAGCGTGGTATTTAGTCTAATAAACTTCGATGTTTAAGTTAAAAATAGGAATCCATGGACTTTAGTGGATTTGAATGGTCTACCATAAATGACTATTTGTTTTTTATTCCTTAAAAAAAAACTATTTGTTTTTTATTTAAAAAAAATACAATAACAATAATAACCATTTTTTTTTTATGAGAAAACTTTCTCTGGATCTTATTCATGAGATAAAGACTATAAACTTGAATGCGTTTGAGAGTGATTTTAGTAGGGTCATAATCATTTTTGTCATTGTCAAAAGTACTTCCTTTTTCATTGATTATATTTTAAAGTTAAAAATTCGATTTTTTGGAAAATTTAAAATCACTTTAAATTGATTTTTAAAGAATCACTTGGATGATGATTTTGAAAATACGTAAATTTCTTTTTCAAAATCACTAATTCTCGTGGCAATGAAGGTGTTTAGGTGCATGACTCTTGGCTAAGTTGTTTGGTCGTTGCATGCATGTGTCAACTACTAACTACCTTGAGATCAGAAAGGGAAGTGTTTTCATTAGAGTCAAGGTTTTTTTGGATCAAAGTAGAAAGGGAAGTGTTTTCATCAGAGTCAAGGTTTTTTGGATCAAAATATAACCAAGAGAAGTACCCTTCTCAAAGTTTGACCTTTCTATATATGAGTGATAGCTATCCACATTAAATGTAAAGCTACTTATATATGGATATAACCACAATTAACGTCACTACAGTTGGACTATAAAAAATATGTAGTCAGAAGTGAATTACGAGTCAAGACTTTTTTGCGAATCGAGTGAGCTCCTTGCCGAATATAATACAAAGATACTATTGTATATCTTTTTGCTAGATATACAAAATTCAAAATTGAAATAAAAGAGCATCGGTGCGTAGCCTTCATTCTACTACGCTAGGCCCACCCCGTATTCTATATGAGTCATTGACTTCGATTGAGCCAGATCGACTATGAGAAGAACGTGCCCACGAGGGAAACGTTGGGCTACATAGCTATGGTTAATTTACATTAACATCTAATTAAATAGATTCAGCCAAAACGAGCATATCTCAACAATAATTGACCTATATCTTCAATCAAGAGGTCGTAAATTCGATTCCCACCCTCACATGTTGTACTAAAAAAAATCAAATAGATTCAAAAAAGGATCGGATTAACATTTCAGGTTTGGTGTAGTTTGACTTGCCAAACAACAAGTCATGCGACGTACAAATTTGATTCATATAAAATGCATATTTTTCAGCTTGTAGCTATTGATATCGTTAAATTTTGTTCAATTAAAATCAACTTCATATAATCCGTATCTACACCATGCAAAAACAAAGACAATAAATAAATGAAAAAGGGTAAAATGCATGTGAAAACTTCGAACAATAATTGCAATATATATAAATAAATAGCATAATGGATCACATTTATATATATATATATAGACTAGCATGATTTATTGATTTAGTTAAACCTTATGGTTCTGTCGAATCACATGTGGCTGTGAGGCGTGGAAGGTCCCCCACCAGGGGACAAAAACATTGCTATTTATTTATTTATTTCCTTTATTATATAAAGTCCTATTTTTTTATATAATAATTATAATTTTTTAACCATGAAAACTTTGACAAATCTCACCAAACAAGACACCACCTGACAGAGATGTTTTTGGATGTGAACTTCTCTCTCTCTTTTCTTTAAACTTAAAAAAAAAAAAATAATAACAACTTTTCTTTATTAATTGTACCAAAAGTCCTATGAATGGAATTTTAAAATGAAAAAGAGAAAAGAAGGAAAAAAAAGTCCTTTTTTTGAAAGCAAAGCAATGTCTTTTTAAAGTATAGAAATGTGGGGGTTATTATTTGTTATTTATTATTATTTTAGTGTTTTTTTAATAATATTTTAGTGTTAATAAAGGTGTGTCAATCTTTTTGGGATTTTCAATGTATGCATATTGGGTACTCTTTATGTGGGGTTCCATATAATTTTTTTTCTATCAATGCTAATGTTTTTATTTTGGAAAAAAATTGTAAAAAAAATATTGTGAATTAAGGTTGTTATAATAACTTAATTGAGCTTTTATTTTGAGTAGTTCTCTTTTAAATTTACGAAGTTATTGCAACTAAACTCTACTGATGATAGGACGAGATTTAAAAGAATTATTGATAGAGTTAATTTGCAATAATGATGGTATGAGTTTTGGAGCATAATTGCTATCAATTATAAGTTTGACGTATAACAACTATCATAGTCTCAAGATGATTTTTACCCATGTAACCAGGGCACTTGCACTCGCTCCAAGACTCGAATTCAAGAGACATAAAAGATTTTTGGTATTCAACTCACAAAAATTCGAACACAAACTCTTATGGTAGAGATACCACAGAACCTCATGTTCTTACCGATCAGCCTACCGGCCCTTGGGGCTCATGATTAATATTATAGAATTTAAATTTTATTTTTAAAACTTTAGAGTGGTAATTGGTGAAATAAGAATTTTGGTGGCTTAATTGTGTATTTTTCAACCTACTAGAAAGCTCAATAGGTATTTTTCAAGCACCTATTGGGCTTGATGACATAGCTATCCTTTGAAAAGACCACACACTTGAATCCTTAAGAGTTATGTCCTCTCTTCCAATAATGGTTTTTTTTTTCCCTCTATAATTACTTATTGCCCCTCAAATCCTATTGATTTTTTTTAATGAACAATTATCCATAGTTTTATTAAAATCAAAGTCCATCATCTCATCTATCTTGAGAGTAGAGTTCCATTACTTGAGATCGAAATTAACGATAAATAGTATGACCAGTCATTTACTTTACACAAACGAGGGTTTCATTTATGATATGATCGATAAATTATTTATTAACTCATGAATAAAGTTTTGGTTCGTCGTCTCCTTCATACAAGTTGCTTTAATAATCTAGGGATATACCCATCATGCTTCAAACAAACACATGCTTCTCGACAAATGTCATATCTTAAAAAGATGTAATGAGAAGAACGAGTGTGTTTTGATGGAGAAAGAACGTCTCAAAATAATATTAGGAGGAAAATTGAATTAACTGAAATTCAACCCACTCGTTATTGGACTAACCCATTGTGTGTTTGAGCTCTAGACAACATGAAAAAATCATAGTTTAACTCTTTAACAACATGACAAAAAATTTTGTCCAGTTACAATTTTCTGTAACGAGACAGAGAAAAAGAACTCTACTTGTAGTTAAGAAAAAACTCTGAAATCAACAATTTCTATTGAGTATACATGTGTCGTTGAAAGAAATCGACAAGAAATAAAAGAGGGAGGAAATGTTTTTTCCAATTGTCTTAGTTTCTAATCCTAATCATGGAAGCCTCTGTTACACTAAACCCCTTATGCTAATTTAAGTCTAACTTAGGTGGGGTTTGGTTTGGGCCACACTATCTAGGCTTGAAGCTTGTTGGGCCTAGGCCCAATTATTTTTTAAGGTATTTGAACTTTGAAGTAAGGAATGGACTAGTTTGACTTGCTAAAGCCCACTCGGCATGAGTTTAAGTATGAATCAAAACCCAAATAGTTGAAAATTATTAAATTTTAAATTAGCATATTAAAGTGAAAATTATATTTCATATTTTTATATTAGTCCAATTCAAAGTAACAAAAATAGATGATTTATTTTATTCTCATATTTAATTTAAATTAGTCCTATTAAATAAAGTATTTTAGGTTCAAGAGCCTTGTGCCTCTGAATAGCTGCGAATCCTGAATCGATTAGTATGAAACATTTTTTTTTCAAATGAAATCTCATTGTATATTTAGTGAAAAGTGTTTTCATTCTCGTAAACTAAGAAATTTTCGTAGTTTAATGCATGTATTTAATTTATTCCAAGTTATTAGTGGAAACGCTAGATTGGAATTAATAAAATGTCATTAAAATAACATAAATCTATGGTATATATCTTATTTTTAATTCAGTTGTTTTATTTTAAATTAATTATATTAAAATAACAAAAAGATATTTCAAAAATAATTTTAGTTTTAATTAAATAATAAAAAATTAATTATATTCAAATAAAAAGTAAGTAATTAAAATATTTTTTTATACATATAAAACACAACAATTCGTTTATTATAATTAAATATTTCACGAACCCATGCTACCTAAACTTACACCCCGAATATAGTTTTTCTAAACTTATATTATCTAAATCCTCTGTAATTAAACCTTTTAGGTGACCTAAATTCAAGCTTGTAAGGCCGAACCCGAGTCCCAAATGCCCCCTTCAATGTTCGTATTTTAGGCTTAGGTCTTGGACTAGTAAATGACATAATATTGGGCCTAAGACGTGGGAAAATTTTAAGTACTACCAGAGTACCTGCTTCTTTTATTCCTATTATGATTTTAATTTTATGAATAATTATTTAATGGTAGACTCTACATTATTTTTAGTATGATACTGAAGCAGAAAAAGGACTGAATGAGAAGATGATTGTAATATGAAAATAGTAAGGAGGTCAACCTCTTTCAAATATACAACATAGAATCTCGTAATGCAACGTAGTCGTACTAAGTATCGACATGACAGACAATAAATCAGAAGAATATGATGAAATATCTTTTACGAAGTATTAAGTTATTTAAAAGAAATAATTGGCCTTTTAGATTTTATGCTCCAAATTTTAATATTAGTTAACTAAATTTTTTAATCATTAGCTTTCTACACTTAAAAGATTTTATTTTCAATTAAAAAATGAGGGTAGGACTTAGATGATTAAATATTCAATTTTAAGAAAGGGTAATAGATGTCTTTTAATCCTTGGCTGACTTCTCTTTAAAAAAATGTTATTTGACTTTTTCACACGCTACTAAGTACAATATTTATAAATGTAATCATTATGAATCTTTACTACTTTATCGAGCAATGTACAGTTATAATACTACAAAAGCATTGTTTTACTTCTATAATTTATTATTAATTCTCTGATGGAGGACGTTTTTTTTAATAATATTTCTTTAAAATTTTCCCTAAAAATATATTTTCTACCCACCTATTTTCAAGAATAATGATTGAAAATAATTTGATCATATGGCAGCGCAGGTTGTCTCTGGAAGAAACGAGATGCATAACTATCCTTACATGTTGGCCACGTATTGCAGGTCGTTTGTTCAAGAGACACTTGTAACTAATTTCTTTTTCCAAAATCTCCTTAACTCATGCGTGGCACCCAAGATTTATTATTTAAAAGAAAAATTCCTTACGACGAATGATAATCATAATCTAAAAAGACGTTCATTTTATGAATTAACGAAGAGTTCCACTTTTTAGGATATAAACTATCAATAAATTGGATGAACACCTATCTAGGACATTTTATTTCTTTTTTTTAATAATATTAAATTAGAAACCTATTTGCAAAATATACCTATTTTGAAACTCATACTAATCATAATGCTTGCTAAAGCGAGCATAGCTCAGCGGTAATTGACATATGTGAGTTCGATCCTCCATTCCCACATAAGACCAATATAGCCGCTCCACAAAAGTTGCAATATTTTTTAAATTTGGTACACGTCTGTCTCTTTGACATGCAAGTTGGAAACAGTGAAGTGACATAGAGAAGAAACGACGGACAATTTTTCAAGCATTATTATTGAAATAAATTTCAGAAAAGAAATATTTAGTAAATAAATTTCTAATTTAGCATCATTAAAAAAAACCCCATCTACTTTACTAAGATAAAGAAGCTTTTTCCCTTTTAATAAAATATCTCTTTTAATTTTTGAGTCCATTTTTTTTGAATAAATAACATCATAATTTTTAAACAAACTTTGAATAAAATTTCTCATAAAACTACGACGAATAATTAAGAAAATGAGTCGATTTGAATATAGTTAAACTGGTGAAGACATTACTTATTTTTTATAGAGGTAAGTTCGAATCTACTTATCACTTATTATCTAATTCTTCATGGTTGTATAAATCAATTTTACGTAAAAAAAGATTATTTATAAGATAATTTATCCCAACTAAAGAATCTTGTCTTCTAAATTATGCTAGGATTAATTTTTAAAAAATTTTTAGATTCCTCACTAAAATATGTGTCTTATGTAAAGACTTCGTTATGTTGGTTTCTTCTCGTCAACCTCCATTGATGGTTGACCTTCAAGAAGTTGACTGAGAACTTCAAATTTTCCGCGTCGTCTTCAATCATCCATGCACGATGGAGAAAACTCAGCTTCGCAGAAAGATCCCATCTCCAACAGCAAAATCCAGTAGAGTTTTTCCTCTACCGAGCGCCGAAGAAGGACGAAAATGGCCGATTTCCTATGGACATTTGCAGTGCAGGAGATCATCAAGAAGACATTGCAGCTCGCCGCCGAGCAACTTAGTCTGGCGTGGGGTTTCAAGCCCGAGCTCTCCAAGTTCCGCAGCTCTCTGCTCCTCGCCGAAGCCATTCTTCGCGATGTCGATCGAACGAAATCCGATCGAGAATCGGTCAAGATTTGGGTTGCTAGGCTTCAGGATTTAGCCCTCGAAGCCGAAATTGTACTCGACGAGCTCTCCTACGAGAATCTCAGACGCCAATTGGACGTCATTGGACATTCCAAGAATAGGGTACGCGATTTCTTTTCAATCTCCAACCCTGTGATTTTTCGTTTGAAAATGGCCCGCAAAATTAGAACTATCACCCAAATTTTGAATGAAATTAAAGCGGATGCGAGTGCTGTGGGGATTGTCAAGTTTGGGGGTGGAAAATGGGGGGATCCTCTTGATAATGGCCAAATTCCAGAGACAGACTCGTTTCTTGATGAGTTTGAAGTTATAGGGAGAGGGGGGGATATAGCAAAAATAGTGAACATTTTAGTTGACGGTACCAATCACGAGACGATCTCTGTAATTCCTATTCTGGGCATGGGTGGTCTAGGAAAGACAACTGTGGCAAAGGCAGTCTTCAACCATGAGCTTGTGAAGGCACAGTTTGATGAAACTATATGGGTGTCTGTGACTGCAACTTTTGATGACAAGAAGATTTTAAGAGCAATTTTGGAATCTCTGACAAATTTTCCAAGTGGGTTGGATAGTATGGATGCTATACTTAGAAGGCTACAAAAAGAGTTGGAAGGGAAAAAGTATTTTCTTGTGCTGGATGATGTGTGGAATGAAGATGTTAAGCTATGGAATAATTTGAAGAGTCATTTGCTGAAAATTACTAATAGTGTTGGGAACAAAGTTCTTATGACGACTAGGAGCGAGGAAGCTGGAAAAATCATGAAGACATTTCCCATATATCATTTAGAGAAGTTATCGGATGATGAATGCTGGTCAATATTCAAGGAAAGAGCATCTGCGAATGGACTACCATTGACTCCAGAATTGGAAATTATTAAGAATGTGCTTGCAGAGCAGTTTGGAGGCATTCCATTAGTTGCAAACGTCTTGGGAGGGGCTGTACAATTTAAGACAAGAAGAGAGACTTGGTTGATGTCAACATTGGAAACTCTTATTATGAATCCTCTGCAAACTGAAAATGACGTTCTCTCTATTTTGAGGTTAAGTGTGGATCATCTGCCAAACGCGTCGTTGAAACAATGCTTTGCCTATTTTTCAAATTTTCCGAGGGGATTTAACTTTGAAAAGGAACAGTTAATCCAATTTTGGATGGCAGAAGGGTTCATTCAACCATCTGATCAAGTACGCACTGAAACCATGGAAGATATAGGAGAAAAGTACTTCAACATCTTGCTTGCTCGTTCCTTATTTCAAGATATTGTTAAAGATGAGAATGGTAAAATTACGCACTGTAAGATGCATCATCTTCTACATGATCTTGCATGTTCTGTTTCAAAATGTGAAGCATTGAGTTCGGATCATATTGGTTTAGTTGATGATGTTCCTCAAATTCGTCAATTATCCTTGATTGGCTGTGAGCAAAGCGTAAATTTGCCTCCTAGAAAGAGCATGCAGAAGCTGCGTTCTTTATTTTTGGATAGAGATGTTTTTCGCCACAAGATCATAAATTTCAAACGCTTGCAAATTCTGGATATGTCCCGATGTGAAATTCATAACCTGCCAAATTCAATCGGAAGATTAAAGCATCTAAGGTATCTAGATGTTTCAAATAATATGACAAAGGAGCTTCCAAATTCTATTGTTAAGCTTTACAAATTACAGACACTGAGACTTGGTTTTTTTCATGGAGAAGCCCCCAAGAAATTCAGAAAACTGATTAGCTTGAGACATTTCTATGTGGATGTTAAAAGACCAACAATTAGGCACATGCCTTCCTATTTAGGCAGGTTGGTTGATCTTCAATCCTTGCCTTTTTTTGTTGTGGGCACAGAGAGCGGTTCTCATATAGAAGAGCTTGGATACTTGAGAAATCTCAGAGGTAAGTTAAAGCTTTACAATCTTGAATTAGTAAGAAATAAGGAGGAGGCCATGAAGGCAGAGTTGGGGAAAAGGGAAAAGGTGTACAAATTGAAACTAGTGTGGAGTGATGAAAGAGAAGTTAATGATAACCATGACATTGCTGTTTTAGAAGGACTTCAACCACACAGGAACCTCCAATACTTGACAGTAGAAAGCTTTATGGGAGAACGTTTTCCAGATCTTACTTTTGTTGAAAACTTGGTGAGGGTTTCTCTGAGAAATTGTAGCAGATGTAGAAGAATCCCAATGTTCGGACATTTGCCCAATCTCAAGGTTCTCGAGATTTCTGGATTACACAACCTGAAAAGTATAGGGACTGAATTCTATGGGAATGAATATATAGAGAAAAGTTTGTTTCCAAAACTCAAAATATTTCATCTTTTTGACATGGAGAATCTTGGACGTTGGGATGAAGCAGCAGTTCCACCAGAAGTTGTGGTTTTTCCTTGCCTTGAAGAGTTGCAAATTCTCAGCTGTCCCAGATTAGAAACTGCTCCTGATTACTTCTCGACTCTTCGGACACTAGAAATTGATGATGTCAACAACCCAATTTCGCAGATTACTCTTCAGACTTTTAAGCTACTTGGCATCGTACACTCTTGCAACCTGAGTGGTCTGCCTGAGGAGCTACGTGGTAACCTGTCATCTCTTGAGGAGTTTAAGGTTTGGTATTACCTTCACTTGAAATCTTTTCCAACCATTGAGTGGCTCACTGATCTTCTAAATTGCAAGATCGGATATGACACAAAATGGACAAATATTCAATCCCATAAGTTAGAATCTTACACTTCTGTAAATGAATTGTCTATTTCTGGCTGCCCTGATCTGACCTCAACCCCAGATTTACAAGCATTATGTAATCTTTCATCTTTAACGATTGCTGGGCTGAAGAAATTGCCAAAGGGAATGCACTGCCTCACTTGCCTGAAAAGTTTGTCAATTGGTGGGTTCATGGAAGGGTATGATTTTGGGCCTCTTTTACATCTTGAGTCTCTTGAAGATCTAGCACTGATAGACTTTGGAAGTACACAAAGCACACTTCCAGACCAACTTCAGCACCTCACTGGCTTAAAACACTTGAAAATTGTGGGATTTCATGGCATTGAATCTCTGCCAGAGTGGTTGGGAAATCTTACCACATTGGAAATTTTGCACCTTGAGAGTTGCAGAAACTTGAGAGAGTTTCCAGAAGCCATGAGTTGCCTCACCAAATTGGAGGAACTGCGCAGTTTCAATTGCCAAGAGCTGAGGCTTCGCCAAGAAGACCCGGAATGGGCCAAGATTAAACACATACCGAGATTCATAGCTTTCAATTATTGGGTTGATGAGTAAGTAAAAGAGAACTGTTTATAAATTATATATAAAATACATATTTGGAGCTTTTGCAATAACAACAAATTTGGCCTAAATAATAGCGGATTTGTTGCATGATAAAATATTTTGTAGAATTGGCATAAGAATCCATATATCAATGTTTTATATTAGGTCTATCAGTGATATTTCTATCAATGATTCAAAAATAGTATATTAGTGGTATACTTTATATTGATATATCAACGATATACTTCGTCATAATACAAAAGTGATATATTTTATCACATAAATAGTATATTAGTAATATAAATGTATATATATTAGTGATATGCTTTATTATTATTATTTTTTGATATCCGTAATTGTCTGGATTAGGTTACGTGCACCTCGTCTAATCTCACGGAGTAACTACCTGACATTGATATGCTTTATTAATGACACAAAAATGGTATATTAATGATATATGAAGGAAAAATGGCCAATTTCTTATACACACACATACATATACATGCATGTGTGTCTGTGACATCTAACTTGCTGCTTTGACAATAGGAACCAACAGAGGATTCAATTCAAAGTATGCCACAATGCTAGCTAGTGACCAATGTCCTAAATGAAGCATTGAGTACAGTAAATTTCCTATTGATTAATTGAAGCAATGAAGTACTCACTTCTCAGATGAACTGTGTTGCTGTGAGTTCTTTGGTCAATTCGTGTATGGATTTTATGTGTGAACAAGTGGCTACATGGACTCATCTTAAAAGAATGAAGCAGCTATAAAGCAGCTATATGTGAACAGGTATTATTTCCGCTTTCATTAAAATATAGAAATGTTAATACTGTACATTCCTTTTTTGATCTTATTACTATTGTTTTGGAGTAAATGTTTGTATATCCTAAAGTCATATTTAAGTCTCTAACATATCATGGTCAACAAAGAAAAGAAACTACATGACCATTCATCTTCAACAAATTTCTGACATTGCATGCGTTTCTTTTCGATTTCTTGTTATCATTAGCTAAACCATTAGTCGTTATAGTTTGTGCTTTGTTCTTCTATCAAGTATTAAAAATCTACTGTGATGTTAATTTTCTTTCTAGTTAAACTATAACTTGGTTCCAGAACGACAATGCTTTCTAGAAGGATTGGAAGTTCATAGGTGGAAGTCTTGTTAAGTTTTATAATAACCCGTCAGCTTAAGCTCGGTGATTTAACACCTTAGTTCTAAAACGATAATGAAACTTAACCAAAAGAGGCAACAAAGTAACATAAAGTTTTCCTACCAACCAATGAATACCAAAATCGACACTAAATGAAGAGGAAATTTCCCAGTCAAGGGACAGTGTTTTAAAAAGCCCCATGAGGCACACGCCTAGGCCCTAAGTGCATCGCTGGAGCCTCGCCTCAAAGAAGCGAGGCGATGTTAGGAAGGTGTGCATTAAGCGTGCGCCTTCTCATGAAGCCTTGAGTTGATTGGGGTGTCTTGGGCTCGTAACACGGATTATTGGGTATTTATTGGGTATTCTCATGAAGTCTAAATTTGAGGCCGCAAGCCACCCAAACTATCCAACTATTACAGCAAGAATCTCAAATTATAAGTTGTTCACATAAGCTTCAACTTGAATTAATTTAAAAATGGTACTCATTAGTTCCAATGGTTCAAGCTAATATTCATGGTCTAATTAAAACCATTATTTCTTTGAAAAATTCCAAAGTACTTTTTCACCATAAAAAAAAAAAAACAATCAATTTCCCTTCAATTTTCTACCCCTCCACTTGACTTTCTTACAACCCCACACAATGCAATGTCAGCTCTAATTACACATTCTTTTGTATTTTATTTTCGTTAATCATTCCTTTATCTTCTTTCCTCAACTCATCTCTCCTTACCGTCAAAGATTTCACATCGAAAAAAGTTAAATGACTTACATATGATTATTATTTTTTTTATTATCAATTGATTTTGAACCAAAACTCTATAAAATTAAGATGTACAGAAGCCCACAACAAGCTCAAACGCAAACATTTGATCCGAAACAAAAAGATTTGATTAAGATTAAGGAGTCTTAGAGAACCACCATTGAGAAGCTTTTAAAATATACATGAACTACCTCTCCCTCTCACATCCCCTTTCTTCATTTTACTTTATTTTATTTTATTATTTTTTAATTTGAAACCACCATTTATCCAATCTTCTTTCTCTCTCCAAATAGTAGGGAAGATTTTTTTTTAATTTTTTTAAAATAAATTATTTGTTCCCAAATGCTTGCATGCTGTTTCCAACTATTTCTATTATTTTTTAAAATCTTTTCCCTTTGTTCTGTCTCCTCTTTTGTTTGTTATTATTATTATTTTTATTATTTTTACTGTTCTTTAAGGCCAAAGGTGTCGGTGTTACCCAACATGGGTTGCAAAGGGTAGGATATGATTAAGAAATTTTTTCATGGGTACTCCTTCAAAATTACTTAACATATTACGTCAATATTATATTAAAAATTATATAAAGCCATAAAAAATTATTTATAAATATAAAATATCGTAATGTGAGAAAAGAGAGTACGAGTACTTTCGTAGTACTGGAATTTTTCTTGAGATGGAGGATGACTTTTTGTTTTCAACTCCGACGGCCGGTTTGAAGTGGAACCCACGGAAAACTTATTGAAATTGTCTACTCATTACCCACCACTCAAAATCCCACCTTTTTTTTGTCACACGCAAAACAATTATTTAGGCCCATTAATCTTCTTCCTTCTCAAAACCGCAACTAACACTAGCTTCAATGATTTCTCTCAAAAGGCCTCATCCATGACGGACAAACACTTCCTTCTCATTTGCTTTGGCGCCCAGGGCCACATAAACCCCACTCTCCATTTGGCCAAAAACCTCCTTCGTATGGGAGCCAACGTCACTCTCCTCCTCACCGTCTACTCCGCTCGACGCATAGAGCGTGAAACCGAGCTCGGCGACCGCTTCACGGTGGCCACTTTCTCCGACGGATACGACGATGGATTGAAGGGTGACAGAGTCGATAATTTCTTGGTCGAGTTTCGGCGTCGGGGCCGTGAAGCTTTATATAATCTCGTGGTGTCTCGGGCCAGGGATGGCCGGCCGTTTGCTTGCATTGTCCACACCCTTGTGCTCCACTGGGCAAATGAGGTGGCGCGTGAACTGCACGTTCCGTCGGCCCTTCTCTGGGTTCAATCTGCCATTTCCTTTGATATATATACACTATTATTTCTTTAATGGGTAAGTTTAAACTTAAACACTTTTTTAAAGATTAAGTTAAAAGGTATATTTAGTTTTGGCTGTAGTTAGTAATTATTTTTGGGTATTTTTTTAATTTAGTTTATTTATTAGTATGGTCGGATTAGCTTAATTCGTATCTTGATTAATATCAATTAATTCTTAGTTATGTAGGTGGTCATTATGAAGTTTGAACCAATTTCTTCTAAATCATTTTGATTTATCCTTGCTGTTTTGGACCCATGAGAATCAATGCATGATGGTGTATAGTAATAGATTAGGAGAAATTTAGAAGTAGAGGAAATTTGGTTGAGGTATATTAAATGTTGATCAACCATGCATTTTAGTATGTCTATTGTTTTCGGTTTTTTTTCTGTTGTTGTTTTCTTTTAAATTTAGTTAATTTGACAAATTTAATTTAGTTCAAAAGGATATAAGACAGTTTAATATAAAGATGGATGATTCAATCCCGCACCCTCAATTATAAAAGAAAACTAACAAATTTAATTTTAGTCCATTATATTTTTAACATTTTTCAATTAAGATCGACTAACTTGCTAGGTTATGTCAAAAGAAAAAAAAGAAACTAACTTGCTAGGTAGAAGAATCACTGGCAACCACATTTAACATCTATTAATCGAAAATATATAATTGAACAATATTAAAACATGACTAAACTTAAACTAAACTTTTTAAATAATGGAGACTAAACTATATATAGAAATACCGAAACTAAAATATATATAATTTAGTCTTTAATTTTTTTAATTCATATTTTTAATTCTCTCTTTATTTGTAGAACTTGACCAACTGATACTGCAAATGACATTATAGAGATTTGAATGTCTTGTTTGGACACTTGATTTGGTATACCGTGTTAAAGTAATGTAGAACTCAAAAACTTAAACAATAGATACGTTAAGATATATTTAATCTTTCATCCGTACTCTTAACAGGTACGAAGAAGCTATTAGAAGAAACAAAGGCGACCCTTCTCTTCTGGTTCGGTTTCCAGGTCTGCCATTAATGTTGTCCAACTCCGAGCTTCCTAGTATTCTCATCTCTGAGAAACACCGACGTTATGCATTAGAGTTTGAAGAACTGTTTGAAACTTTAGGTAAAGAAACCAAAACAAACATTTTACTCAACACCTTCAATGCCTTAGAACATGAAGCCATTACCGCCATGGGTGATGAGAAGGTCAATCTGATTCCAATTGGACCCTTGAACCAATCTGCCACTAAATCTGATCATTACAAGGAAGAGATCGAGTGGCTGAACTTGCAACCCGTCTCGTCGGTAGTGTTCAAATCACCACTGAACTGAAAAACTGTTAGGTTATAGTATTTTAATCGTTGATTTTATATTACTAATTAGGTGCTATTTGACTCGTAAGTTTAGAAATTTCTACCTAACACAGGTGGCTATCGATATTAATTAGGGAGAAAATGACATTATATAAGAGTTTAGATATAGAAATTCTCTAGCTATAAATTAGCACAAGACACAACAAACTAGCTATCCATTATTAAATAGGGAGGAAGTACCATTAGTTTGAATACATCTTTGCTTTGATAACATGTTGAATGACTCTTGAATCTAAATGTGTTTAAATTGATAGTTGATATTATATTTAATCATTTACTCATTTCATATTGTTAATGGTTAACACTTTTTGTGACTTGAGAGCTTGTAAATTAGTGCACAAGATACAACAATGGGCTATCCCTACAGTTTAGGAAGGAAATGACATAACAGTAGTTTGTAAATTAGTACTATAATACTAAAATGACTCATGAATCTAAACGTTTATGTTGATAGTATATTTAATCATTTATTCAAATTCTTACCAGGTAGTTTATGTATCATTTGGGAGTATTTCCATTTTGCCAAAGAATCAAATGGAAGAACTCGCAAGAGGGTTATTAGACAGCGAGCATCCATTCTTGTGGGTGATTCGAGCAAACAAAAATAGAGAAGAAGAAGAGATAAAAATGAGCTCCGCCATGGATGAAGCAATGAAGAAAGGGAAAGTGGTGGCATGGTGTTCACAAGTGGACGTGTTGAACCATCCTTCGATGGGTTGTTTTGTGACGCACTGTGGATGGAACTCGACCATGGAGACTCTAGTGGCTGGAGTACTAGTGGTGGCGTTCCCACAGTTGGCCGACCAGTGCTTGAACGTGAAGATGATGGAGGATGTGTGGAAGGTCGGAGTGAAGGCGAAGGCAAACGGAGACGGCATGGTCGACCGGAGGGAGATCATGAGGTGCTTGGAGAAGGTCATGGGCAGCGGAGAGAGAGGAGTGGAGGTGCGAGAGAATGCCAAGAAATGGAAGGCTTTGGCTAGGGAGGCTGCAAGATGAATCAGAGCTCAATCTCATGGCTTTTGTTAATGGGGTTTGAGAAAGCTTTTCCTTTGTGTAAGCATATATACATAGTGTTGTATGACTAATTTGTTGAGTTTAGGGTTAAAAAAGACCCAAGCGCAACCAAGTACAGGGCGAAGGTCAAAAGAGCCGCTCACTCCTGGATAATGAAAGACAAATTTAACTTTTAAATGTTCATATTTACAAGCCTATATTTGTAGTTTTCATTTCCTTAGACTTTCGTTTGCTTGATTATTGTCTGTAAATGTAAGATCTTGCTTTGATGATATGTGGTACCATATCTCTGCAACTGTACAATAATTGATATTCTTTGTTTTGGACATTAGCTCTCACGGTAAAAGGTTTCATACTAATGAAAATAATTATTTTTATCTAATATATTATGGATCATTATCTTCTTGACCAGCGTGGAACTTTTTGTTTGTCGAGAGTAAGAAAATTTTCCATACTACTCCTATTTATTGTTACCAACTCAACTGCATGGACCCATAAAATAAAACAATATCACTCAAATGATATGTCTAAGTGTGAATGGGATACTCTCGTAATACTAGAAAAACTTCTTTTTTTAGTATCAATTGTATCAAGCACCCATCAAGAACATTATTAATGCATTGCCAGTACCACATCAACATCAATAATGCATTGTTTTTCTAGAATTGTCACATTATTTTATTTTTCTATATATTTATAGACGGTAGTTATATATACACCCAAATTAAGACCCTTGTTACAAATTTATTTTAGTTTTTCACATTAAGTTTTCAATTTGCGCAAAAACGAGTATAACTCAGCGGTAATTGACATATACTTCCAACCAAGAAGGTGTGAGTTCGAATCCCTTTCCCAACATATTGTACTAAAGAAAAAAAAATTTTCAATTTGCACGTTATAGAAATTTTACCCTCCATAAATTAAAATTAAACTAACCACAAGTACCCTACCTGCTACATAACATCTCTATTATTGGAAAAAATAAAAAATACTTTTATACAAAAATTTTAATACCCTAATGTTAAGGATTCCACGTTAACACGATAAGGGACTTAACAAGTTTATAATAGACATGAACTACTATTCCTCCTACCAGTTAATTTTGAGATGGATCCCATGAATATTGACATAGTATATTCAGAGCCCAAACAAACTCAAACGAGCATCCAATCTCCACTATTATTTATAAACTATCATAATTTTTATCGAGTTTTCAATAATTATATCGACATTTTTATAAATTAAAATCTCAATATACCCTTTCTTGGGTAGATTTTCATGTTTTATTTGTACTACCTATTTAGAAGATCCAATTTGGCATGCATTATAGACAACTAAAGAAGGAAAAAGGAAAAGAGACAAAGAGAATCGAAAGGGCAAAAGAAGACCTCTCACCTTCTTCTTCACTCCTTTGTCTCTTTAGCATTCATAATCTTTGTCCTTTGCTTTAACAAAACCCCATTCCCTTTGCCACTTTGATCCATATTGTGTACTTAATTGGTTGGTTTTTCACTTTAATCTCTGTCATTAATTAATTCATTCATCAATCTTTTACTTCACCAACTTCTCTTTCTCCATTCTTCCTCTTTAAGAAGCCCCAAAAACCACTCATAATTATATTCCACATGTTTTTACACTTGATGAACTAAACTAAACAAGTTGTAGAGAGATCCATGGCAACTTTTGCTCTCTATCTCATTCTTCTCCAATCTCTTCTCATTCTCTCTGGTAAGTGTGTGCCTTCTTTCTTTTGCTTTAATTGTATTGCTCCCCATTCCCCACTTTGATATTTTGATTTAGTCTCTAACACAGATACTCTAATTAAACTTTTCCAAGTTTTGATTGTGATAATAAAACATTGAAAATTTCATCGATTGGAATAGACGGATCCGTTTGGTATCTTATTCTCGTTTTCAAATTTTATTAAGAAACTTAACCATTTTGTAACTAAATATGTTTATTGTATCTTCTTTTATTTTGAAACATTATCAAAATTGGATAGAAATCTTGGAAACAATTAAAACAAGTTTCTTGTTTCTCTCCAATATGTTACAATACCTAGATATAAATATTTATTTGATCATTCTAGAATTCATGGGTGTTAGGGCTATACAATTTTATTTTTCTTTATTAAAAATGAAGAAATAGCAATAAAAAACGAGAACATTACCAAACGAACCTGACGTGTTCCCTTATAAAATCGAACGTTTGATAGGACGATAAATAGTTAGCTTTTACATAGGATAGATTTACTAATATCTTAACAGTTGGCCATCAGCTGTGTTTTCTAAAGTAATTTATGACAATAACGACTTAATTAAAAACACTAAATACATAAAAGACAAAATCAATATTTTGGTGGAATGGATTGGATATCTAGCTTGAGAGAAATAACCGTCTTTTCTCATATAAATATAGACCCACAGGTACTCTATGGGATGATATTGAGCTGACTGCTTCTTCTTAGTCACCAAATCCACATTCTTTTGTAATTATGATATCTCCACCATCTTATTAAACTGAAGCACTTTTACTTAGCTACCCTTTATTTTATGTTCCTCCCATACATTTTGAATGAAATGGAACTGTATTTCCTCTTAAAGTAAAAAAAAAAAGACAAAATCAAAATTTTTAAGAGAGATACATAAACGAAATTTAGCAATAACAGCTTGTGAGTAAAGCAAAAACCTAAAGCAGAACTCGGTAGGTTAAGACATCTCTACTTTTTCTACGAGTTCGTATTCAAAGTTCCATATCTAAGATTCCAAAAAAGAAGCAAATAAGGATAATAAATTTAGTCCTAATTTAGCATATTTTTATACTTTTTTGTGTCTAAAGTTTTAGAGTTATACAGACGCAGAGATTTCAAGCAAGATTGGAATAAACTATGGGCAATTGGGGAGCAACTTGCCATCTCCAAATCAGGCCGTGGAGATGATAAAATCCATGAAAGCCGGCCGAGTGAAGCTGTACGACGCCAACCCACAATTCTTGAAGCTCTTATCAGGAACAAAGCTTCAAGTTTCCATCATGATACCCAACGACCAAATCTCAGACATTGCCGCCAACCAGACTAGGGCCGACGAATGGATCCTCGACAATGTCGTCGCTTTTTACCCCGATACCATGATTCGGTTCATTCTGGTAGGAAATGAAGTTTTGAGCTACGATGACCGTCGAGTTTGGCACCAGCTTGTGCCCGCGATGAGGAGCATTTGGCGTTCGCTTAAGGCCCGCAATTTGCAGATCATTAAAGTTGGGACTCCGGTGGCTATGGACGTCTTGGAGTCTGCATTCCCACCCTCAAGAGGGACGTTTAGATCGGATATACGACGAAGCGTGGTGGCTCCCATGCTCGAATTCTTGAACGAGACCAGGTGGGAGTTAAGTTGATAGGTTAGAGTAAATTTGAAATTTTTGTTTCATTATTTGGAGTTTAAAAGAAAAAAACCATTTTGCTCTCAAATTTTTAAAATATTAACTTTTATCACCTAATTAATATTTATTTGTTTAATATTGGTTAAGGTAGTTGCAATACATACTTTACTAGCTTGACATAAATTTACTCCAAGTTAGCGGAATATAGACGAGAATAACTAAAATGATTAACTAAAAATATACATTTTAAAATTTTAAAAATTTAACAAGAAATTTTTTTTCCTTTTGTAATTTTTAACACTTCATCCCCTTTCTTAACTAAAAAATTTAAGTAATGGGTTAGAATACATTTAATCTTTTATTTATTTTCTTAACAGGTCTTATTTCTTTGTCGATGCGTATCCTTATTTTTCTTGGTCGGCAAATCCCAGGGATATCAACTTAGATTTTGCTCTTTTCGAGGCAAATTTTGAACAGATCGACGGTGGGACTGGATTGGCATATACTAATCTTTTGGATGAAATGTTGGACTCTCTTATCTTTGCCATGGCCAAACTTGGCTATCCGGACATTCGTTTGGTGATCTCAGAGACTGGATGGCCGACTGCTGGCGATATCGAACAACCAGGTCCTAAACCACTCACTTAACATGAAATGTAAATCTAAGTTAATAGGTTAACAATAAATATATATATATATATATCATTTATTCATATTCTTGACACTAAGACATTAAAGAACTTTGATGTGCATATGTCAAATTAAATCGTTATTGAACCTTAGAATGAATTTAAGTGGATAGGTTATAAAATATTTAATCTTTTATTCATATTCACAATCCTAGGCGCCAATATCCTCAACGCGGCAACGTACAACCGAAACCTAGTGAAGAAGATGACAGCAAAACCTACGGTAGGGACGCCGGCGAGACCAGGGGTGGTGATACCGACGTTCATATTCGCGCTCTTTGACGAGAACCAAAAGCTAGGGCCGGGAACGGAGCGGCATTGGGGGTTACTAAGCTCTGATGGGAGCCCGAACTACGAGATCGACTTGACCGGAAAGAAGTCGTCGGTGGAGTACAATCCGATGCCGGTGGTGGAGAACAATGTGCCGTTCAAGGGGACGCTGTGGTGCGTGGCGGCGAGAGGGGTGAACTTGATGGAGCTCGGGGCGGCGATCACGACGGTGTGCGGCGGAGGAAACGGGACGTGTGAGGCGCTGTCGCCGGGAAAAGAGTGCTATGAGCCGGTGTCGGTGTATTGGCATGCTAGCTATGCTTTTAGCTCTTTTTGGTCAAAGTTTAGGAGCCAAGGGGCGAGCTGCTATTTCAATGGACTTGCTGAACAGACAACCATTGATCCTAGTGAGTTAATCTCTCTCTCTATTTATGTGCTCCTTAAACTCTATTTAATTTCTATAATTGTCCATACACTTAAAAATTAGTACCATAAATTTTTGAAGGTTTTTCTTCTACTACTTCAAATTTTGTAAATTAGTTTTAGATTTCGTTCTTTTACCATTAAAATCTTTAAGGCGTGCGAAGTAATGACCTGATTCATCTTTTATCGTTTGATATTTCCGATATTTTTAAAGTCTAATCTTTTGTGTTATTTTCCAATTTTGTTTTATGAGTGAGGCAATAGTGTGCACGATACATGGTTTTTATATCATGAACTACTAATTAAGAGATTCATGTTCATGGTAATTAATAATAAAATAAAATATATCATTTTTTTTGGTTAGTTACTAACTTAAACTATAACAGAAAATGACTAATTTAGTACTTAAAAAGACATTAAATATATAATTTCTAACATTTTTAAGACCAAGTTAAGATACATGCATGGATAAAATTTGAAGACCAATACTATATTTTAGTCTCTTTTTTTCAAAGGAAAATTTAATCTATTTTTAGGCACCTCTCCCTTCCTTTTTGGTTGTTATTGTCAAGTTAAATTATATTTCTAATTCATGTTTTTTTTTTAATCTTAATTATTTCAATTTTAAGATATTTAGTTAGCTAGTGTGTGTATATATATATATATATATTTTGCACGGATAACTAAATATTCCTATCATTCATTGTTAATAACAAAAATCTATTATGAAAAGTTATATGTCGATGCACTAATGTAAAACGAGTTATAAAAATCCAATGAGTATAATTGGTTCGATTAATGGAATTGTTGACATAGTAAGCTCATTAGTTAAATTATGATCGAAGAACTAAATTGGTATGATGTTACATACAATCAAATAGACTAAACCCATCATTAAATGTATTTTACTTATATCTAGTATTAATTGTAGAAATTAAATAGTAGCAAAAATATTCGAAATATGTTATGCCATATAATTTATCATCATACCAATTTCAACGCTTAGAAAGAGACTTTGAAAAATGTAAAACTTTTTAATTAATAGGGACTAAATTGAACCGATAGTATTTTTATTATTATTTTAATACATGTTCATTTTTCCTTTTATTTGCTTTAATATTTTCCCCCATGATTTTCTTGGCAGGTAATGGATCATGCAAGTTCCCAAGTGTGACTTTCTAAAGAAGACTTCATAGAATTCTTTTAACTTTAAAAGAACTTCGTAGGATTTTTCTTTTTCTTTCCTTTTTTTCCCAAAGGGAGAAGAAGTTTATAAGGCCGATTTACGATTAGGAGAAATATGTAATGCAAAATTTTATCTTTTTCAGAAATTTGTATCGTTTTATTTACCTACAATAAATAAAGTGGAGAATAATAATAATAATAAAAAAAATCACGTGGGTGGCACGTGTCTTATAATTTTCTTTTTATTATTCTAAAAAGCATTGATACTGTTTTCAAATTTTCATTCTGAATATAGTTGGATATTTTATTTTAAAATTTTGATGTGTATCGACAATTCTAGACATTCATTGGTGTAGAAAAATAATGATTGGGCTAAATTTTTAATTTTAATTGTTATATATATTTTTTACAGGGCTAGTTACAGAAGAAAAGAAAATGAAAAGTCTACCTTTTAAAAATTTTCATGTAAATGTACATGTAGATTATCATAATTGAAAAAAAAAATAAAGGAGAGTTTAGATAAGAAGAATATGGTTTATAAGAAAGCAAGAAAATACAATTATGATACAATTAGAATCAATAAAGGAAAAATAAATTATATTATTTTTTAAATATAAGTAAAATAAGTGATAAATATGTTTAATGATGCTATCATTCAAAGTAAGTATAACTCAGCGACATTATTTTTTTAATTTATTTTTTACAAATATAGTTAGTTGATAAATCAGAAGTTAAACGACTATAGTTTTTGAGAAAAAGATTTCTATGATTCCTGGAAAACTAAATTAAATTATCTTTTAATTTATGGAGGGTTTCATTTTCAAGTTAGTTTTATTATATATAGCTATTTATCATGATTGATATTGAATTAGCGAATTTTCATAGAAACAACAACATGAATGAAAATACAATTTTAAGCGGTGACTTTATAATCATTTTCATTTGTAATTTTATGTTTCAAAAAATTATGCTCGTAAAATTTCACTCCTCTTAAAAATATATTTGAATTTTTAATTAAATTTTAAAAATAAAAGAAAAATTTAAAAGCAATTTTTTTTAATTTTCAAAAATTGAAATGTTTACAAAACTATACAACAAAATACAGAAATACATAGGTGAAAGTATTGTTTTTGATTTAATTCAAACTATACAACAAAAACTAAAATGGTTATCAAACATAACCTTAATTATTTTTTGAATTAATCAAATTTGCTCAACAAGTATCTTTGGAGAATTATAGCCACTAGATTAAATACTATGTTCAAGGTCGAGATGTGCAAAATTTTGTGACTACTAGATCATACACTCATTCCAATGCCAAGATGTAGCAAATTTATAGCCACTAGACCTTACATCTTATTCGAGGCCAATATGTGGCAAAAGTGTAGCCATTAGATCTTACACTTTTCCTAAAGTGAATATGTGGCAAGTTTGTGGTCGTAGATATTACTTAATGGACAAATATGTTTGGACTATAAATAAGTTGACATTCATGGTTGGTCGAGTGAACTAAAGTGTGAGGTTTGGTGATAAAGATAGAGAAAGTTTCCTCTTATGAGAGATTTTATTTTCTAAAGAGAGTTTTTTAACTCCAGATTTTTATGGAGCGGAATTATTTTATTATTGTCCATAATTTTTATCCTAATTCATTTAGGGAGTTTTCACGTAAAATTACTGTGTCCTATTCTTCCCTCTCTTATTTTTTATTACTTCTTTTCGATATATTTTAAGTGCGATCCAGCACTATCTAATTTCAATCCTTTGATATATGTACAAACACCCACACAGAGGAGTGATTCATATCATGAAGATGATGCCATTTTCTCTCATCACACAGGATTGTGATTGAGTCAATGTGACGTTGGATTTGACTAGCTAGATATATATAGTGATATGATTTCTTTTTCAATATAAGTGGTCGTTCATTTAGGCCATCATTTCCCTCCATTGTTGTTCGATTGTGGGATATTAGTTTAGTGGTAAAATCGACCAACATATATATCTTGATCTAGCTACATATGGTGAGTGGAAGAAACAATACATGGGCCTAGTTGAATCATACTAGTCATCTCGAGATAGAGATACAAGACACGACGTATAAATTGACATACCTCAAATTAGATACAATTGAATGAACTGTTAGAATCTATTTAAATGAATTAAATTTACCTAATCCGTCAATTTAAACTTTTGGGTTGAGTTTGAGGTCAGAATGGGTCAAGTGCGAAACTACCATAGGCCTAAAATTCCTCCCTTAAAGTTCATATAATTACTAAATTGAATTGAGACATGTCGTAAATGAACTTTGAAGTCAGAATTGGTCAAGTGCGGAACTACCGTAGGCTTATAACTCCTTCCTTAAAGTTCATATTATTACTAAATAATATATCAAATCTTTCAAGATTATATGTTGGTGTAGCGGTTCTCACACCCGAGTCAAACAAGAAAAGATATATATTGTCATTATATGTAGATAATATTTTTCCATCCAGTATTCTACCCATTTTCTTCTTCTCTAAAAATCATAAAATTATCGTGATTTCATTGTTTTTCTTTTATATAAAATTTAATTTAAATTTTGTGAAGTCTTCCGAGATTAATTGTTTAAGATACATTTTTTCTTTAACTTTACATTATATGTACTAAGTTCTCATAGAACAAAAATTTTGGATCCATCACTGAAATGGATAATAATTATTAGTAATTATGACCCGTGGTTTATGTAACCTATAATATAATATAAGATAATATATAATAAATAGTGATTTGATTTAACCTTTTAATTTAGTGTAGGTGTATATTCATCATAATTTAAAATGGATACTACAACTAGAAGAAGAGACGGCCGACATGTCGAGGTGGAAGAGATGATGCTTTGGTCACTTTGGCTTGCTTTGCACGCACTCCATATCATAATTCTTCCAAACTAGCATAACGATAGGTTGAAAATATCGACATCGATGGAAATATCGAAGTTTCAATTTTGTGAAAATATTGATAAAAATATCGATAAACTATCATTCGATAAATATTTTTATAAAAATTAGAAAAATTAATAAATGTTTTTCTATTTCTAAATAAGTTAAAAATAATTGATATTAATATTATGTATATATTAATTATTATTGGCATTTTATTAATATTTTTCATATTTTGTAGTAGGATGGAAATTTCGATATTATTATTCATGTTGATGTCAAACTCATAGATATATGGACATGTCAATGTAAATGTCGATGCTTCGACGAATATTTAATACATGCTAACAAGTAATAACAACAACGAATTTTATATTTCCTCTACTTAATTGGTTGAAATCCTTTTACTCCCTTTTATTCCGGTTTACTTAAAAAAAAAAATAAAGTGTTTTCAAGAGAATGTTTCTAGAACAAGTTAAATGGGTGGAAATAATTTTAGTTTAAATTTTAAACTCCATGTTTTTTTATTTAATTAATTTTTTAGATTTTTCTGTTAATTTTTGTTTCATAACTATAATGAACAGAAACCTTGATGTAGGCACATCTCTTACCTCTTCTATTCATTTATCTAATTAATAAAATGCATGTCTATATAGACATATATTATTTTAAACAACCTATAATAAGTTCCATATCTAGTTTTTTAAACAAATTTGGTGTCTTATTAAATTTTTAAAGAGAGTTAAAAAGATAAGAGCTAAAATAGTTTTTTTTTTTCCTGACTAAATTAAAATAAAGCACTTTAAAGTTGAAAGTGCTTAGGACCATGAGGTATCACCTAAACTAAAGTCTCAAGGTCGAGCCATGCGATAGTTACAGTGTTGCTCGGTCCAGACAATGAATCTCGATTCTAGGAATCCACTAACGCAATCTACACGACATCAATTTTGAGAAATAATAATAAAGAAAAAAAAGACTGAAACAAAAAGTTGACGACCTCCTCTCTATTAAGGTGCCAAAACCTTAATTCACATGTAACCACGCCTCAAGAAATAAAAGAACTAAAGTTCTATTCGTATAAAAAGTCCTATTTTTTCAAATTTCCCTATTTCTAAGAAATTTAGTCCGGTGACATGGGAGTCAAAATCAATGGCGTATATATGACTCGAGAATGACATCGATTATATTGACGATGATGTAAAACCTTTTGTATTATGGTTTGAAAATCCGTGTAGTATAGACTCTTGTACAATGATTTGATATCACGAGTCTATATATACACACATACATATACAAGCTTTTGGTATATATAAAATAAGATTATATAATTTTTTTCCAACTCTAAATATCTTGTTTTAGATGTGGTGTTCATAAGTTGATTATTTTAAGAATATTTTTCCAATACCAATTAATTTGATAGCTAGTGTCTTTTTTTTTTAATAAAAAGAAAAAACACTCCCACATTCCCACATTTCTCATCAATGGCCATTAACAAATGCTGTCATTTTCATGGCCAATTAATTTCCCATTCACTTGAAAGCAGCCATTTCTTTTTCCAAATCTTCACAAAGTCAATAATGGAGAACTTTCCACTACTTCGGTTTGCTTTTCCTCTTTCCATTTTGCAATTCATATAAAGTTCGTGAAAAGGAAAAGAGGTAACAAAAGAACACCAAGACATGAAAGGAAGCTTCAAGGAAGACCAATGCCGTTACACCCACCGCCTCGTCCACGTTCTCATCCTCGTCCTCCTGTGTCTACCGAGTTTCAATAATGTCTTTACTGTACTTGGCAACTCGATGACTCCGTGCAACGGTTCGATAGCGGAGTGCTATGTAGAAGAAGAGATGTTAATGGAGTCGGAGATAAGTCGGAGGTTTCTTGAACAGCAAAAGAAGTACATATCATACGATACTCTGAAGAAGGATCAACCGGCTTGTCAAGGAGGCAAAGGCAAACCTTATACTAAAAGTGAAAGCTGCCTTCCTCCTCCGTCTAATCCCTATGACAGAGGCTGTAAACCGATATATCGATGCAAGTCTTAGTCTTAAGCTCCCCAACGACTTTCACTCACATGACCTTTTTCTTTTCTCTCTTTCTTTCTTTTTTCTTCGAGAATGTTTTTTAATTTAATCTCTCACCGTTGGCAAATGTAAGATTGATCAACGATAAATTTATATGGCAAAATACTTGGTGAAATTGAAAGTGTAGGTTGAGGATAAAAGAGTCTTCTAAGGAATGAAAGTTTCTAATTTATTTTCAAAATTTCTAAGAAATTGGTAGAACTTTCTAGTGTTCTTTTGATGATATATATATTTTTTCTAAATTTTCGTCAATTCATTAAATATACGTCAGGTAAATTTATTATCAATCAATTTTAATATTTACTTAAGAGATTAAATTGAAACTTTTTAAAATTAAAAAGTCGCCAGACTAAAAGCACATATTTGGCTTTTTATATTTGTAATCTGCTTTTGTCTGTCAACGATCACAATAACACTCTTTTGATATATATCATAAATTTGACTACTATAAAGTCTTAACTCCACCAAATGTAACCGCGAAGTTAAGTAAATGGTACAATTAATATATTAAATTAGTTGATTCTTTTTTTCCTTTTAAGAATTGTGGTTTATTTTATTTCTCAAAAAAAAAAAAAAAGGAAGAATTGTGGTTTATTTTGACGTTTTCGGTTGTACACCACTATTTTTCTGAGTATCAATTATTTTGCTTGTGTTTGATATTTTTAGGCAATTTCTATGTAGTTTTTTTTCTTAATTATAAAGTTTTTCTATATTAGCTTGATATTGAGTACTTTATTTTGCTTGAATTTGGAGTGATTTTTTGGTTTGTTTTTGTGAAGAATCACCTAATTTGGTTCTAAAGATCGTACATACAACAATCGAGATGTGGTCGGAAATTATGAGGACTTTCCTCACAATAATAGTTTCTTGCATTCCAACAATTGATAGGTATATTTAAAATAAATAAATAAAAGGGATCAGTACATTGATGGACTGTTTAAAATCCTAATTACAGGATGAAATGTTTAAAATCCTAATTACAGGATGAAATGTATGTAATTTACACTTTTGTCATGAAACAAACTTATTTATGGTACCCATCACTTAAATTACAAAACTATCATTTTGTATATGCACATTAATATTGATTGATTTTTAAATTCTAGGATTCATTAATTGGAAGGTTATATTTTGAATCCCATGATATTTGCTTAATGATACTTTCCAAAAAAGCTAAAATACCAAAACATCTAAAAATATCCCCAAATCCCTCAAATTCAAAAACCTCTAGGTTCGTGTCTTCTTCTCTGTTAGCCGGGATTATTCTTCCAACTGCTTGCACCTTCTCCGACGATTCACCTTGATTTTGTCTGCTTCGTCTGTCTCAGAGGCTTTATATTCGTCGCAGAGTTGTCCGTTCCCGTCGCCGAACAGTTCGTTTCCGTTCTACCGTTGTTCCATTTCTGTTCACTCTTTGGTCTCTGGTCCCCACCTCCGTTTTTCTCCGTCGCCGGAGAAGTTCGTCTCTGTTTATCCCGATCGAAAAGTTTGCATTCCAATATTTCCTAATATATCATAATGTTGAAAACCTTGTTTTTTTTTGTTTGTACTGTTAAACCCTTTTCTTGTACTGTTTTTTTTTTTTTGTATATATTCCAATATATACTAATGTTCATTCCATACCCAACTAGTATCCAATAGTTGTATATATAGGGTTATATGGAAATATATCTCACAGTGAGTTTGATCTTAGCATACAAAGCACCATAACAAATTTGTGCATTTTCCTTTTTGTGTGTAGGGGATATATCTTATCATGGTTGTCTTGCACTTTTTACCTTTTTGTGTATAGGGATATATTGAGATATATGAGATATATGGGGAAAAAAGTGCTCGAACAGAGAGGAACCTATTGAATCAAATTTGAAATGCGTCCGGCGGTGACTTCCAAAAACCGGTGGGAATTTACACATGAAGAGAGATGAAATTGGATACTTTTTTCCAAATTAATGGTAAATCATGGGAATAAATCTTTTTTTGAAGGAATGAATCGTTTGGGCCCACAATCATTAAAGGAATATGATTACAATTGAGGGGTTCAAATTTTTTAAATTTAAAAAAAAAACTATAATAAAAGTAAATGTAATAAATAAGGGTAAAATCGGTATTATAAAAAAATCCTACATCTAGAAATCTAAAAGTGTAAAATTGGAAAACTTTAGACATTTGTAAAATTAAGTTTAAGTTCGAAGACATAATTATCTCTAAATAAAAATACATAAGATTATGTCTAAACGTCCTATGAATATTATGATAGCTTATACATGCTAGATTATAATTCATCCCTTAATCAAATCATAATTTTGAGTTAGTACTCAATAGTTTATTCTTGCCAAAACGAATATAGCTCAGCCGTAATTGGCATATACCTCCGACTATGAGATTGTGAGTTTGAATCTCCAAACTCGTGAACCGCTTTTGGTGAAATTACGTATTTACCCTTCTTCTACCCCTCTTCTCTTGCCTGATCGTCTTTTATCACCAATTTCCATAGTCCGAATCTCCTTCTTCTCGGGCCTTTTAACGATTTTGTCATAATTTCAGCAAAAGCTGATATCATCAAATGCCTAAAAAATTGGTCTGTGAGAAACGCTTATTTATGCGATTTTCCCTTTGAAATCCCTCCTATCAAATACCAAAACAAGAAACTTTTAACTTAAATTTTGTGAAATATTTTATTAAAATCTTAACACAAAAACAACTATAGGAACTAAACTCTCTATAAAACATAGAAGATATAGATGATTAATAATAGTTCTAATCGGTGGTTGGTTGGACTAAAAGCGTTTAAGATAAATTGATTTTATGTGTTCAAATTCTATATTGACCACTTACCTTATGAATTAATTTCTATGTATTTTTCGATATCTAATTTTGTAAGGTTATACGACTGGTCGTGAGATTAATCGAAATGCGTGTAAATTGTATCGGACTGTTACGGATATTATTAGAAAAAACAAAAAGATTAATAGTACTGACCCAATTATTGACTGCTGTGCAAATTTCCATTTAAACTTTTAGATTAAGTGGATTTAGTTTGCTGATTCAATTTCATCAATTATTTTTTTTCAGTTCCATCGTTTATATCTTAATATTAATTTTTTTTCCAATTAAGTCCCGTTACCACGAAATGTCAAAAGAATTAATTGATGAACTGACAACGTAATGTTGAAAATTGTCAGATGTATTAATTGAGTTGAAGTTATTATCCTCCATGCTTTTAATTCGATGAAATAGACATTAAAAAGACGAAGGAGCCCTTTGATTGTAACCATTTTACTTTTACTTTTCTATTTCTAAAAATTATGTTTGATTTTGTACCAGTAAGTTTTTTACCTATATATATATTTTTTCTTTTTTTTTCTTTTTCTTTTTTAAGAAAAGACATCATACCCTTCATGTGAGAAGAAAGTTTTTCACCTATCTTAAAAACATATTTGAATTTTTTTGCCATATTTCAAGAACAAAAATTAAAATAAGTTTTTGAAAACTACTTTTTTTTTCCTTTTGTTTTGTTTTTTTTAGATTTACCTAGATTTATAATAACTATATAACAAAATAAAGGAACACATGAATGATAAATGATGTTTTCCAAACTTAATTTTTAATACAATAGAAAACCAAAATTGGATATCACTTGAGATCTTTAATTATTTATATGACATAGAATATGGCTCGAAATTTTTTGTTATTATAGAAAATTAATCCGTTAAATTATGTTGATATGCTGACAATTAACATTGATAACCTCATGAAAATTCATTTTTTAATTCGCATATCTATCATATTTCTTTTAGTGTCGAGTGATTTAAAGAGAGCAAAAAGAAATTGAAAAAAATTGTTGTACCAAAAATTGTGAAAAAAAATCCAAATATTATAGACTAATTAAATAATATATTTAGCCTTTTTTTTATCTGTCTACATGGAAACAAAATACATACATCTTAACTAATCTCAACTAATCTCAGGAAACAATCGAGTCCGCAGAAATGAGGATGAGAATATATGAAGGAAAAAATAATAATAATAAAAAATAAAATAAAATAATGTTGTAGAGGAAATATAAAATTCATTGTTATTACTTATTATTCATTATGCTAGTTTGGAAGAATTTATGACGCAGTGAATGAAAAGCAAGCCAAAGTGACCAAAGCATCGTCTCTTCCACCTCGACATGTCGGCCATCTCTTCTTCTAGTTGTAGTATCCATTTTAAATTATGATGAAATTATATATTTATACACTAAATTAAAAGGTAGAAATCAAATCTCTTTTTTATATCATATCTTATATTATATGATGTGATGCGATGATGCGATGCATAACTACATGGTCATAATTATTATTATTTTAGTGGTGGATCCAGAATCTTTTTTATAAGAATTTAGTAGATAAAAGAAAAAAATGTACTAGATAATTAATCTCTAAATTATCAACTTCTTTTCGACATTGCAAAATTTAAATTAAAATTTATATAAAAGAAAAACAATTGGAAATAAAAATAGTAAAATATATCTATTATAAATTATTATAAATTCTTGTTATGTCTTTAACTTTTCAATTAGGGATTCTTAATATTCCCACTTTATTTATTTTTTTTCAAAAAAATATTCTTCATACTTCCCAATAAATAAATTTTTCAGTAGTTCATCTTTCGAAATACATAAAAACAACAGTTTCTTTTTGGTGATTCAAATCAACCATTTTTTTGTTATTATAATATATCATCATCTCTAAACTTGTGTGATTTTATTTATCTTCCTTATCTTTATATGTTTCTGAGCGTACTTTTGATCACATAATTTAATAATATTATAGCATTATAATTATTTGCCTATATATAACTTAGTTATAATTGGAAAATTATTAATTGGACAAAAATGTAAAATCCCACATCCAATGGCATACATTATTACACCATGTGAGAGAGTAGACCCTCTCTATAAATAAGTCCAAGAGGAGACATTGATGGCATTGCTTTATATTATTCCATCTTTCTTGGCTTAAAACTCCTAATAACTTGTACTTCCAAAAAAACCAAAAACCATGAATGATCTCTGTGGAAAGTTGGTGGTGGATGTTCCCATCAAAGCTTCAGCTTCACAGTTTCATGAAATATTTCACCAAAGACCTCACCATATCTCCAATGTCTCCACCGACAAAATACAAGGCGTGGATCTTCACGAAGGTGAATGGGGAAAAGTTGGCTCTATCATCTGCTGGAACTACTTTCATGGTTTGGTTTTTTCTCTATTCTAAATTATTCGAATTGTCCGTTTGGTAACGTTTTCAAAAATTTGTTTTTTTATTGTTTATATGGTGGTGTTGATTAATACCCCTTGTTTAGATGGGAAGAATTCAGTGGCAAAGGAGATAGTGGAAGCAGTCGACGAAGAGAAAAATTCCATAACTTTCAAAGTGATTGAGGGGGACCTTTTGGAGGAATTTAAGAGCTTCAAGCTTACAATCCAATGTGTTCCAAAGGAAAAGGGAAGTGTTGTTCATTGGACTTTAGAATACGAGAAACTGCACCCTGAGATTAAAGATTCTCATACCTTGCTTG